ATACGCTAGCAATGAATTTAACGATACGTCCGTACAACGGAGCGTCGGAACAGCGACTGCTGAATGCTGATTGGTTGGATTGGATGACTACAACACGACTGAATCACTTCACTCTCACAATAGTGCAAGAGGAGCGTAGCTGAATGTTGTCGTCGCAACTCGTTCTGTTGTTCTCCACAGGACAACACGATAAGTGCAAGGAAAAAGGAAATGAGACTATGCATAAAGGAAATAAAGTTAATAATTTGTTTAAAAATATGAAAAAAACTAATTTTTCATTGTAATTATAACTTGGTCTACTACCAAGACTATTCTTAACATTAGTTAGCATTAATTAAACTTATCCTGCTAACAAGGCAGATGATGCACACAGGGGGATAAAACAATGCAACAAAACCGTTATTTTTATCTTTTTTTTCATACGCTACATCATAATCATGACGTTCACGTGTCGTCAGCTAGCAATGTAAACAGTGCCAGTTCGTCATACGTACAGCGGCTGCACCTTATTTAGAGCAACAATAAGTTCAATTAAGTTTGTTACTCTAGTGCGGTTAGCAGCTACCAGCTAAAACTGTGAATTATTGTTACTCATATTTGTATTTGCTCTCTTACAAGTATCATCAATATCATTAAAGATTACATTATTTATTAAGAAAATTGTCACGGCAATCGAAACCCATTGTTAGATTTTTTTAACTATCACCACGCTGGGACTGTAACAAGAATTTTTGCTAAAGTAAGTAATAGTAGAATCTCACAGTCGAATTTTAAAAGATGCTGTTAACAAAAAAATTTTGCGTTCTCTTGAAAATTTAATTCGATAGCATTTCTTTTTAATCGCAATGACTGTTGAAAAGAATTCAAATGATATTTTCGTCATTACTCTGTATTTTTAATGTTCTTTCTTATCTTTTTAATATCTATAATATAATAATATTCATAAACAATCTTAGATAACCGCTAGAATTCAAGAATAATTATTGTTTTCTTTGTGATTACACGCTATCAATAATTATGACTACATTTATTTGCCTGCTTATTTCACGAGAAATGATTACGGGCTTTCCCTATTATTTATTGCTCAACATTATAAACATAATTGTATGAAATGTCACCATAAACCTTATCAGTAAAGAATAACTCACTTGTTTATTAAAATAAAGTTCGTCAAATATAAAATGCGTTAATTTCTATTAATAATAATAAATTAATTAGAGTCGAACCGGGTTTTTGGGACTTACGCATAGCATAATGGAGATATTCCATTTTAAGCAGAAATTTCCATAACAGAAAAACATTAAAAAATAAAAGGATGCGAGCCATCACAATTCGATGATTATGTATGAGGAAAAAAATAATTGGATTTGTTCAACTGATTATGTAATCTTATCAATTAATATGCTTTTTATAAAATCATATGAGATTTTATCAATGTTTACTATAAGACTTAGTTATTTGATCTTCCACCGCGATGTATTTCCTAACGTGCCTAATATTCCTTTATTAAAATCAAGTACCAAAATATACGTTTTCATAGGATACGATTTCAATCAATAAATTGTAAAGAGCAAAGATTTTTGCCAGTATTGTAATTGCTTGATTACACGGAGTTACCAATACCTAACATATTTAATCTTTTATGATATCGCGTGTCTTCTATCTTGAGTATTATAATTAAAGTGCACTTAACTTAAATCGTTTATTTTGCCACCCCTTTATCACGGATGTAGAATGCAATTAGTGTACAGAACGTAAAGGCGACGCAACAAAAACATGCAAGCAAGTTAGAACTAATTACTTTCAAAGAGCCACTCTATTCTGCAAAATATTTTTCTGGTTATGTACCTACCGTGGGTTTCTGATACCACAATCTCTGTTTAAAACATATCGTCATTCCTGTCGCTATCTTTGACAAAACAGAGATAGCAATATATTTTCAACGGGAATTTTGGTCTGATGAATCCACGGTAAATCATTGTTTCATAAGTAAGTATTCCATAAATCTGTATTCATGGCATTTATTATATTCGTAGTAGACTTATCGGAAAAATTAAGATTGGAAAACAAAAAAACATTATTTTGTTTAAATTATACACGTACACCATTATACCACAAATAATCGATTGCCAGCGTGCACAGTTTTAATTTAACCATGATTAAAAACAGTTATCGAATGTACATACTACTCGAGATATTATCACGAGTTTTCTATATACAGATAGATAGGCAAGCATTGATTACGGATCGATGGCGCTAATTAGTTTCACAATGGATTTAGTACTTCTTGGAACACACAAGTATTTGCTTTGGCATAATTACTTAGAACGCGTAGTAAATGATGACTTATAACTCGTAAGAATCCGTACTAAGTTCTGCTAAAGCGTAGAAACGCGGTACGTTGTCTTGCTAACCTTATTTGCATTAAATCTATGTGGTAACTAAAGCAAGACTTTCTCCAGAACATTTTAGATATCAGAGTTGGCAGCATTAGTTTGTCTCATAGAATATTCTCAGACAATTAGTAAGCACTGAATTGTCTTTTGTAACCTGCTTATTGGGTATTTGTGCAATGAGAATAATTTAAAGTAATTAGATTGACATTTTCTTGTCTTTACCTAAATTCCAAAAGATCAAATAATACCTTAAAACATATTAGATACAGGTAGTGTATAAAGTATAAGTACCAGCGACCAATGAGCGAGGTCACTCGCAATATGATCAGGTATGCAACTGCGCTAGGATTTTCGGCTTTGGAAATCTATATTGCGTCAAGGACAAGTCTCACGGTTTTTAATTATGTATATCTAATTTTCATTAAAGAAAAAAGTTTTTATTAATAAAAAGGTCGTTAATTTATTATACAAAATACTATAAAATATACTCAAGTTTAAGATTTTATGTCAATACATAAAATATGTAAGTAGTTAGTACGATCACGTTTGGTTCTAAGTTAGAAGATTAGGAAATATTCTGAAGAAGTCCATTAAGCGTTAGATTAGTATTTCTTAACTTATTGTAAGCAGATTGTCTGCCGTCTGATCTGAGCTCTTAGTACGTAAGTATGCGCTATGAATGCAGCTGTCTAAGTGAACAACGGTCAAAGACCTCTCTCAAGTTTCATTAATGCGCTCTATATAATCAAATCAACGTTGTTTTTATTTTACGAGCTGATTATATTTACGTATTCCTTTATTGACAAGTGTTAATATAGAAGTCATTTATTTCTTCGAATAGCTTACCTTTAGTTTTAACGGGTAAAGGATATAATGCCTGCAACGTCTTCAAGAATTCATTATCCATTTCGTAGTAACGATCAAGTCTTCGAGACCACACGGGTGCTTCTTAAAATGTTTAACATTTGAATATCTCAATAACTTATACAAATCCGGTGACGGTTAAGAGGAGTTTTACGTTGTTTAAAGCGGGGTAAACGTCCCAAAAGGAGCAGGATGCGAACAAAGGAACCGCCACCGTCTGGTTGTTGACCCACGACTAGCTCCCAACTACAGTTTCACGTTGCAAATATATTTTAATCTACCCTCCAGTAAATACGATTCAGACAACTTTATGTAACGTCTTTGTCCTATCGTCTGCTTATAAGACGTTGAATTGTTAAAAATCCTATTTTTGCAAATATTGCCCATGTACATATTTGTTTTTTACAAAAAAAAATTGTAAACAATTTTGATAACTACGACAGCGGCGCCATGGTTTACTTGGTCGAAACGCTTGTCTGGTAAACAGGAGATCGTGAGTTCGAATCTTGGTGAGGGTTTGATAAAAGTAATTAATCATAGGTCATTATCTTACATAAAACAGAGATAACTTTTAAACGCAATTTTGGTCTCAGAAACCCATTGTAAATAACTAATTTTTGACAGAATGTAAGTTACTATGGTTTTCCACTGAAGTGACACTTATGCTGGCATCAAATTTCGTCGTCACTGTTTGAACAAAGAGAATGTGAAGATGGACAATATGTCAATACAAGAGTCGCTGCTGTAGAAGCCCACAGTATTAGTAAGTCACTGTTCTACTGGTCTAAAAGTTGTTTTGTTTCCGAGTCGCACTTTATGCCTGTAGGCAAATTCATAATATCTACCCCAAAGGTATTACATATATATACTATGTGTTATTGTGACATTTTATGTTATTGGCGCCGGCTAGTCGTCCCTACTTGGCTGCTAGCCAACAGGGATGCTTTAGTTAACATTCTACAAATTTCTTCCTTGAACACTTATTTTTCTCAACTGTTTAGTTTTATGGTGCTCAAATATGACTTTCGATATAAAGATTGTTTATTATACGCATAGCTATAATTTAAACTTGTTTATTAGTAATATTTACGGCTAAACCTGAGACAAATTGCTCTAATCTAGATATGATGTATCTTCTACTCGTTGATACTATTTACAATTAGAGATTATGTTAACACAGATGTTCATCATCGAAAATAGTGATGTTGCCTTCATCATTAGGAGTAATTGCTACCCAGTGTATAGCCAATATATGGATTGCTTTCGCAAACATGAGTACTATAGACTGCAAGTTCCACCAAGAGTTGGTTTTGTTGTGTAGTGATTGATGCTAAGTATAATTTGACCCTGGAGTACACCTCCATGAGAGGTATCTCCGCAAATAGATTATTCCCTCAGGTCCGCTCTCTCTATGCTACTAATTTAGATTTTTTAGCAGGCAGGTATTAAGAAAAATAAAACCATACCACAATAATACCGTGTTTTAATACAATAATCACTCATGCTATATACTTTCGACCGCTACTCAATTCATAGAAGATTCAACTGGTCAACACAATAACATTTAAACAGATTATTCACCTATATCTTTACATAAAAATCAGTTAATATATCGACTTACAAACTTTGTTCACAAAAATTTCACTAAGTTCCGAAGAACCAAACTGCGCAATAGTTACAGTTATTACACTACAGATTTACATGTATGAACACTCAAAGGTTAACAAATAAAAAACTTAATGGGTCATTATAATTTTATTCGCATATAATAATTGATTATGATACATGGAGCGCAAGCGCGCACCGGTCAGGGGACGCCGCAAGGCGCCGCGCGGCCATCTCGCTCCAACTTGCATTTATTATTTATTCGTATTGCATCGACGAGTCGTTATGCAAACCGCGGCTACATATTCACTAATGAGAGGTCTCGAGGCAGCATCGGTCAGTACGCCGGTCGGAGGCAGAGTCCTCGCGATACCGGCCCACCGCGACGCGGTCGACCGTTCGCGTTTATACATACATATCCTTAAATTATAACAGTCAATTAGACAGCCGGATGTCCGTCCGATCTATATATTTACATACAAACAAACGGAGCATCTCTCGCACGGCGCGGGGGCGATGCCGAGAGGCCGAGTCGCCGGGCCGCCGCCGCCGTCGCCGCTCGGAGTCGACGTCGCGGATGTGAAACGAGTGCTTCGATCCGCACGATTCTTAAATATTATTAAAATCACTTCATAATTTACGACTTAATTAAATATAGCGAGAAAGTAAATTGTGAGAGGTGGCAGTAGATGTGCAGGTGCAGGGCCGCGGCGTATCAGTCAGCCTTGATATCCGCGGCGGGCGGGCACTCGGGCGGGCCCGCTTCCGCCTGCTCGTCTGCGCCCGGCGTCACCTCGCCGGCCTCAGGCGCGCGTTCGGCGCCGCCGCCAGCCCCGCCACCGCCTCCAGCGCCGTCTGTGCATACATCATACATATTACAGCATAAAATCTATAAAAATAAGGGTGTAATATTTTTCTCATTTGTAAGGAGTATTATATTTTCTAGCAAGCTTTCGGTCACGTACTGTCTATTGACAGCCGGGAGAGAGGAGGGTGGAAGGTGTATACTGACTGCGCTGCTGATGCTGGTAGTAGAGGTTGTTGCGCTGCGGTGCATGATGCTGTCGCCCGGGCGAGGGCGCGGGCGGCGCGCGGTACTGTGGCGGCACGGGCGCATGTGGCCGCTGTATGGGCGCAGGGTAGCGCGGCGCTGCGGGCCCACCGCGCGACATTGGCCCTCCGCTCACTCGACCGTTGTTGCCGCCAACCATTTGCTATATACGAAAAAAAAAACATGCATACAGATCAATTTTTTAATAAATATCAAAATAAAGGTTTCATTATTTGTTATATTATTATTATTTGTCTATAAATGACAGGTATTTTTTTAAATGTTATTAATTTGAGATACATATTAAAAAAATACTGTTAGATTTGTAACATAGATGTGATTCATAGCTTACAGAGTAGCACACCTGCTGATGCTGATGTTGTTGGTGCTGGTGCTGCTGGTGCTGTTGGTGCTGCTGATGCTGCTGGTGTTGTTGGTGTTGTTGGTGTTGTTGGTGCTGTTGGTGTTGTTGGTGTTGTTGATGTTGTTGGTGCTGCTGATGCTGCTGATGGTGCTGGTGCGGCGTGTGCGAGGGTGGCGGCGCGTGGTACTTGTGTTGGGGCGGCGAGTGCGGCGGCTTCTGAGGCTTCGCCGCGCCCTTGGGCGTGGGGGAGGCCGACTCGCATAGCGGCGCGAAGCCGTTGGCGTGCTCGTGCAGCGGGCTCTTAAGCTGCGGCTGGGGCGGGGGGCGCGGTTGCGGCGGCGCATACTGCTGCTGCAACGGTGCCCTGTACTGTTGCTAAAATAATACCATGCCACATGTAACTTTGTTGTTTATAAATTGTTTTATACAATACAATGTAAAATAAACAAGGAATAATACCTGCATTTGCTGCACGGCAGCTGCTACTTGTAGCTGCGAAGTGAGGAACTGGGATCCAAACGCGTTGCCAGACTGCGCAGGCTGCGTGAATTGCAGGGGGTAGGTGGGTGCGGGCGCGGCCGGCGGCTGGTAGGGCGAATAGTAGGAGCTGGCGGGTGGTGCGGGGCGCGGCAGCAGGCCCGGCAGCGAGTACGGCGCCTCGCCCACCGGCCCCGAGTAACCGAGGAACTGCTGCTGGTAAGTGTTTACGCCTCCCACGCCTCCTACGCCGCCGACGCCGCCGCCTTTGCTGCCTATACATGACAAAACACGAAGTTAAACATGTAGTTTATCACGGGTATGGATTTAATGATATTTATTTTTATATTTAATTTAGTTTTTAGTTACGACAAAATTATTTGGTTAGATTATATCTATACCTATAGCTCCTATTTGTTGTGAAGAAGGTTTAACAGTGGCAGACATCAAAGAATTTGATGTGCTTGAAATGAGGACAGTGTTAGGGCTATTGCCCAACTGCCCTGATTGTCCAAACGCGGCTCCACCACCGGCAGCAGCCGCCTGTCGTCATAGAAATAAAAACATTAAAATGAAAAGTATGACATAAAAAATAAGATTAAGTGACTGAAAAGTTTCTTACCATGCGATATTGACTTGGAAGACTTTGGAACATGTCTGGAGGAGGCTGGTAATTGTAGGGAGCGGCTGAACCTGCACCATACGGTGTCCCCGGGAATCCTCCGAACTGACCACGACTTTGATCCAAAAATGCTCCATATAGCCCTCCCTGTTGTGGCAACTGTTGTGACGAGCCTAACAGTTGTTGCGATGAATTAAAAAGAACTGCAGGAGGTGAAGATACTGACAAACCACCATATCCACCTTGGTATCCCATGTGATTGTAATGCTGAGGAGGTGGAGATTGCAGTTGCTGGGTTGGCTTTACTTTGCATACGTTAGGAGGAGCACCAGTGTCGGTGTTGTTTTCTTCAAATCCGGCAAACTGCAATTCCTCGCTACCTTCCGCCACAGCAGGCATCTCCCAAACTTTTTTAACACTAGCGATTTTTAAATTGAGATCAGCTGCCAGAGGAGAAATAGTATTGGAAGAGCTCATGTGCGTACTTCGAGGCAGTCCAAGTGACTTAGCAGCTTTATCTTCAGTTAGTTGACCTAAATCTGAGTCAAAGGCAAAATCAAGCTTCATGTCAGAAGAGTCTTCAGTCTTTTGTGATGTGTCAAAAGACATTGGAAGACTTAAAGATCCTTCAGGATCCGGTACCGGCCTACTGTTCTCTGCCATTATTTCCTGAATAGACCTTGGCCGTGGTCTTACATCACCATTAAAAGTAATGGTCCGTGCGTCAATTTCCGTGGGAACATCTTCATTTTGCGTTTTCACGTTAGGTGCACTCGGTTGGTATTTTTGTTTTAAAGCTTCAGCTGGAGGAACTGTCTTATAATTTGTGTTTTCAAAGATAATGGTCTCCACAGGAGGAGTGGTACCATCTAAGACACCAGTTTTTTCGGCTATGATTGTGCATGGGCTTGAAGCTGTCTTTGTCTCAGCGGGTGCATCACCTGGTGTACTCCGTTGGCTAGATTGACTCGATTTGTTGTCAATTACCTCCAACGGCTCGTCAATATTACCGCGCAGCGTTTGTGAAATCGGTTTGTCCCAGGCATTGACCGATGGCGGCGGTGGCGCAGCTCCAGTATCTGGACTGAAGCTGGACATCATACCCATTTGTTGTTTTTGCCTCTGTTTCACAAAACGGGGTGCTAAATTGGCTTGTCGCGGTCTTTCGTATTGCGCATTGGGTTTACCAGAAACTGGTGTTGGTCCCCGAGCATTTCCCTTGTCGTTAGAGTTTCTTGACGATGAACCATTTCTACCTCCTCCATGATTGGAATGAGATCTAGGTTGTTTAGAAAGTTGCTGGTTATCGTCTTTTGCTATTGGTCCTCTGGCATCTTTAGAGTTTTTCTTATTTCTCACTTCTTGGAATCCATCATCAACAATTTCATCGTCTTTCTTTATAGTAGATATTTTAAGACTTATAGCATCGGTTATATCAGTATTTTTCACATCTAAATTGTCTTTCTTGTTACCTTGACCATTACGACCGGTATTTTGTCGATTATTTTGATTACGTCCACCAGGTCCTTTTTGAGACTGACCAGATTGTCTACCGCCTATAGAACGGCGACGAGCGCCGCCGCTCTCGGAATGTTCGGATGTTGTTTCCCAATTCTCATCTTCACCACTCAGTTGACCAGCTCCTTTAGGACGACGATCGCGACCCCTACCAGTCGATGAACCAGTTCTCGGCTTATTATTCGTTTTCATCCGGTCATCTTGCATAGGATCTTTTCCATCCTCAGTATCTTTAACCGCTCTATTTGCCTGACTGAAAGGACTCTTAGTATTGGGCGGCCCGTAACCGGTAACTCGCTTTGCGGGGGCTGGGGGTCGAGTTGTCCCTTGAAAACCTCCTCGTCCCCGTCTAGATGGTTGTCCTCGAGGAGCAAATGGTATTTCCCTAATGTCTATACCGTCACTTACTGGCTGGCCCGGATCTGCTAAATGATTCACATCTTCCGACCTTTCTGGTTTCTTTGGACCTCGGGGGCTGCGAGGAGCCCTACGGCGTTCTTTACGATCAACATTAGGAGCTCCATCCGTCGATGCATCAGATTCACTGGCTCTATTTTTAGAACGAGAGTTTCGATGTGAACGTCTTCCACGAGATTCTCTTGGTCCCCAACCTCTATTATACACATAACCGCTATTGTTTCCATATCCTCTGCTTTTCTTTTCAGATCCCGAACCACTCGATTTTCTTTCAATAGGCTCCTTCAAAGGTATTTTATGCAATAGTTCAGCAGTGAAAGAATCACTTTTCTTTTCTTCACTACCATGTGTTTGTGAATCTGTAACACCTTGAATGGGTTCAGCAGGTCGCACGTCACTGTTTTTCGCTAACAAGTTTGTTGGATCATTACTTGACTTGGATGCTATGGACTCGGATTCTGAGAAATCTTTATCAGACTTTTGAGAAGTGAATGCTGGCTTACTTGAAATATGTTGTGAAACTATGTCAACAGGTTTTTGAATTTGTGGTGAAATCGTAGGAATATCATTTTGAGGTCCAGGCTTGGAAATGGGTTGATTGTCAAGTCTAGAAAGTGATTGGCTATCATTAAATGGAAGTTGAGATTGATTAGAAGAAAGAGGTACAGATTGTGCTGTGTTGTGTGCCACTTGGGTTATTTGCTGATTTGCTGTGAAATCTTGCACATTAGACCCTTGGTTAGTATTAAACTTGTTAGTAAGACTTTGTGATACAGGAGGATTGTTTACTGGAGTAGCGTTTTGATGTTTAGGTTGACCAGGAAAGGTTTGTTGGATTAAGGAAATATTGATATCTGCTTTTTCAGAAATTGAAGTGATGTCTTTAGGCACTCGCTCCTTCTCTTTCGATGATACTTGAACATTTTCTGATGACGTTTTTAAAGGTTGATCTTCTTGTGATGCTTCAGCCCATGAAGTTTTGCTATAGTCTTTTTCAGTAGATTCTTGTTGAGCTACTGGTGGAGTAGGGTTTCGTTCTGGAGGCTGTATTGGTACGGGAGGATCTGTGGGAGGAGCAAATGGCTCAGTAAGGCCAATACTTTTCCTTTCAAAGACTTCAGTTAATTTGTCTGCAGCAGTTCTACTTCTTTGCTCAATGTGGCCTTCTATTATTTTTCTTTCAGACTCGTTTCTTCTATCTCTGAAGTCATTACCATAATCTTTACTTTTTTCTACTTCTCTAGCAGATTTGTCATAATCTTGCATTTCTGAGCGCCATTGAGGACCAGTAGCTTCTTTGTCCCTTCTCACTTCGTCCTCACGATCAGAATAGTCCCTGAAAACAAAACAAATAAAATTTGAATATCCATTTAAAAGCAGATCAACTTATTCTGTTTTCACTTTCAAAATTAAAAATATACCTTGAATATGAGCGACGGCCATTATGTGGAGCATGTCGCGGAGCGTTATACGCAGGTGGGTCTTGACGCCTTGGCGCCGCTTTTCCTGAAAATGCCCACCCTTTATGCTGTTCATCTTGTTGTCGGTTTTGTTGTTGTTTCAAGAACCTTGGTGGTATATTAGCTTGGAAGGTTTTAGAGAATGCATTAGTCTGGTCACGATCGCGACCATAATCTCTTTCCCTGAAGTCACGATCGCGATCAGCTCTTTCTCTATCACCTCGATCTCGGTCGCGATCACCACGATCACGATCCCGGTCGCGATCACGATCTCTTTCACGTTCTCTATCACCACGCTCTCTGTCTCTATCAAACCTGTCACGATCTGGGCGATCCCTGTTGTCATTACGATCCCTATCCCTTGCGTCTAATCTTTCTTTTTCATTCTCCATGACGTTTCTATTGTCATTTCTATTTCGATCTCTGTTCTCATGTCTTTCCCTATCAGAATCCCGCTCCCTGTCTCTATTGTCGAACCTATCTCTGTTATCATTACGATCGCGGTCCCTGTTATCCATACGTTCACGATCTCTTGGTTCACCTCTATCTTTTTCTCTTGTGTCTCTGTCGCGATGATCCATTCTATCCTTTTCCCTATTATCCAATCTATCACGGTCTCTATTTTCCAATCTCTCTTTTTCCCTAGAATTTGAATCTCTTTCTCTTTTATCATTGCGATCTTTGTCAATACGATCTAATTTCTCTCGGTTATCTTTAGTCTGCTGATTCGTCGCGGGTGTGTCACGCATCTGCCGCCGTTGCTCTTCTTCTTTACGCTGCCGTGCTCGTGCGACAGCTTGAGCCACTTCATTGTTTTGCTTTTGTCGCCTTTCGGCCCACAATTGGTCTTCATCGCCAGGTTCCTGGAGCTTAGAATCTAAACGCTCGTTATCTGCACTTGATCGGTTGATGTTAATTTTATTACTAGACTTTGTAGTGGGTGCCGACGATTCACCATCGGAGAAGTCCAATTTTTGACTGAAAAATTATATAGGTTATTACATTATATAGTAAACATAAAAATTATTTATATAACTTTTAATTCCAACAAAGTACTCACTCATAATCAATATCGTCATGTTGAGCCCATCCCGCATCACGAGAAATATCATCGAGTGAGGAAATTTGTTCCTCCCTTAGAATAGGGCGTGCAGTTAAAACCTCCACGGCTCGGGGCGTGGCGGGCGGTCGAGACATAGACCGTGAGCTCGATTGGTTGCCGCTGTTCGCGGCGCCACCGGCGGCGCCGCCGCCGCTTCGATTGTCACGAAGTGTGCTCAATGTGCCCAGCCCGAGCCCACTGCCACTGCTACCTTTCATCAGCTACAAAATATACACATAATACAATTAATAACCATTTGTGTTCAAACATACAAAAGTTCTGAAGATGTACTCACGAAGGACGGTAGTATAGCACGGAAAGCGGGTGTTTGCTGTGCGGCGGGCGTCGAGGCGGGAGCGGCGGCGGGAGAGGATGTAGTTTCTTGACGAACGCCTGCCGTCCCACCGCACGTCCAACTGCCTTCCGCTATAAAAGATGTTTTATTCAATGTTAACTATGATATGACTATGGAATCAAACTATATTATGTGGAAGTATAATAAATTGTATGATAACAAAAAACATATAAATAATGACTGGAAAAATGTTTTTCGTTAAAGCAATTACATTTGACATTAAAACCTGTTACATCTCTGCTAAAATAAAAATCAGTGTAAAAAGCATTCAGGTCTTTTGTATTCAAGTTAAATTATTCTTGTACTGTAGATGACCTTTATTTATGGAATATCACAAGGATAGTTTATTTTAAATTACAATAACAAACTTAATGAATAGTACTAATCTATTGTATAAGTATAATAACATAAGACAATTATAATTAATTCTAGTATAAGAACAGTGCTAGAAATTATTATATTCTCCAAAATTGCATGTGGTACACAAGTTTAGATTTTCATATTATCCATGGCTAGGACTTTATCAGACACAAATAATTACTTATTTAGTAGTTTGTAAATGTTTATTCCAGTATCATAAATCAAAGCTTGTAATGAAGGTTGTGAATGCAGGAAATGCATTGACCTCTATAATGTGATAATGAATATTGCTTGCATTAAAAAATAACACACTCCTGCATACACACATATAGTAGCTGTTAAATGTACTTAATATACAAATTTTGATTACATAACAAGTTATAAAATTATGCAACCTTGCATCAAATGGTTAACTTATAAATACATATATGCTGTTCTTAGTAAACAAACTAGCTGGTGAAAACACCTATGTTAATTATGTATTTTAGTATGCTTAAATATTATTATTAAAAAAATATACCAAACACCCAAAGCCCCCTTAAATACTACCTGTGTTTAACTAAACTTTGTTTTATTTTTTTTCACGAGAAGTGGGCGGCGCAAACACCTAGGTGATCATAGATGCCCATGGACATCTGCAACACCAAAGGTTTTGCAAGACCCAAGCTGTACTGATTTGGAAAAACTGCAGAGATCAGACCATTCCAGAGTTTAATAAATTGTTCCCTATATTATTTGAAACTAAAGATATATTTGAATAAGTTGAACATGTACTCACTGTGAATCACCTGGCAAGTTTACTTTTATAAAAAAAAACTAGTAGTGGCATGGAACATATAACTTGTTCTGATTCACATTTAATCAGAAATAAAAATGTATAATTACTTTGTGGTCTTAATAGTGGTTGTGAGACTGGAACATCTGTAGTTCGGTGTGAGGGTTGAGCGGCAGCCTCTAAGGAGGGGAACTCTGTGCGAAAGTGGGGTGACGAAGGTGGTGGCAGAGACACCCATCCTCCCTGTGCTGTGCCCGCAACAACACCACTGTTCGTTGTTGTAGACTGTAATTATATTAAAAAAATTACTAAAGTTCAATTAAACTGTAATAATATGGAAGTTTTGTTGTAAAATGCTTACTGTAGTTTGGGATGTGCATGTTGCCGGAGTTGATACTGTTGTGGTGGTTGTAGAATTGGAACTGAAATAGTACAAAATATTTAACTAAATTTCATTGAAATAATTCTATGACTTATTATATGTTTGAATATACCACAACATAACATTTAAACCATAACTTCAGTTAATACCTTTGCCATCATGAAACTGAAAACTACACACCAAAATTTTAAAATGCAACCTGTATCCTTTACAATGCTAACAATACAATGAAGTTTTGAAGTAAGCTGCAGAGCATATGTTTTATAAATATATAAGTATATGAAAATGACTCACTTGATGTTTGAGTCTTGTCCAGTTTCAGTTTTCAAAGACGGCAAGTTAGCTGGTGGACGCCGAGCAGAGGGAACTTTTCCAAGAATTTGCATTCCATGTTTGCGGCTTAGTTGAGATTTAACTGAGGACGGTTCTGAGCTTTCGTTCTGAAATTAGTTATGACCTTAGTGACAAATTACATTATTTACTATTTTTACTTTAATAATTTATGTTGTCTGTATTTCAGAATAATATCCTACAGATTTTTTTTTAAAATTACATAACATTTTGATTTTATTCAAACAATGATTCCAAGTTTAATTTCACATTTTAAATTATAATAAAGAAAGACTAACAATTATGTACATCATATATTTAGAAAATAACAAATAACTTTTACTTATTCAGTTCATAATGTTCAAACTATATTTGTCTGCAAGGAATAAAATAATTTTTTTCTAATAATGCTTATTTTTGAACCAATCTTTTTCTGTAGTCATTTATGTAAATATATATTTTTATTACATATCCAATTACTGTTAAGGTAGAAATTGTTTACGCTCTCTTTTATGTTAAGAAAATAAATAAACTGGGTTACAATGGCGGAAATAAGAAAATGAAGGTCGAAAAAAACTTACTCTATTGGCGCAGTACAAACTATTGATGTCCAACTTTTGATATTTTTGCTTGCCGGACGTCGGCTTGCTCTGCGCCGTAGTTCCTCCGCCGCCCGGCGTCGAGAGTGCAGACATGCTGCGATGTACACACCATCAGGAGATCACCCTCTCACCGACCACCAACTGCAACCAATGCAATCGGTACTAAACACTAAACTATGCACTCGACGTTGCATCAACTAAAACAGTCACCACAGTTCTTTGTCCTTCGTAATTTTCAACGATATAAAAACAATTTTTACACTGCACTGTTAAACTAAAAACATACTTTGATACATTATTAGTTATAGTGTTAATATTTACCACGTATTCACTGTCTAAATATATAGTCAAAATACTTTCACAATTCAAATGAAGGGAGAATTTAAGCCCTGCCCTCCGAAGTATATTGACGTGTTACATCCGTAGGCTGAACAGACGCTGGATCGATGACAAGAGATTTTGGAATTTAAAAATTAACTTTCACACCCGTTACATCCGCACTTCAAAGTATAATTTAAACCATAATAACGGTACAAACTCTATACTAGTAGAAAACGGTAAATAAACTAATTTTTATTAGTAATTGAAACAACAAAAGCAAAATAAATATATACCTTGGTCCGTTATATCGAATAATACGAAATAAAAAAATTCTTAGACAAATGCAAGTTTATTTAATGGAGATTACTTTAGATTTTTTCTATATCCTACGCTACCAAAACTTATATCACTTTATTTTAAGATGGCGTCTCCAAAAGACGATCTCCTTCCTTCACAATCAATAGAGTGACGTCACAAAGACGCAACAAAGCGCACCCTGTCGGACGAGTTTTAAAATATACAAAATGCATTCAAAATAAAAAACATAGTAGAGAAATAAAAAGATGAAATTGCCACATCTCAATTAATTTTTAAACTTAGTTTGTTAGTTTTAGATTTAATAATAACGAGGGGTAAGTACAATAAAAAATACTATACTATACTGTTTTGGGAATAAAATATATCACACTGTAACGTTTGTAATGTTTTGCTTGAAGCTTTGTTAAAGCTTATACCTTTTTGGCTTTTATGCAGCATACAAAAACAGCTTAAATATATTTTTTTCATTTCTATTAATAAAATAATGATTAAATTATTTGGGTATATACCCAAATATGCATAGAATAAGGAAGCTATATAAAACATGACCCAATGCTCGTTTACGCTTGCGCAAAACGAGCCTTGCATCGTATTGATGAACTAAAAATCAGTAGTCTGATATCTGCGGAGAACCTCACAAAACCAGAAGTATTCCAGGATACCGGCAGCCATGTCCGGTAACATAGGAATGGAGCAATTGATTCCTATTGTTAATAAATTGCAAGATGCCTTCACACAACTCGGTGTGCATATGCAATTAGACCTACCACAAATTGCTGTGGTGGGTGGACAATCTGCTGGCAAAAGTTCTGTCTTAGAAAATTTCGTTGGCAAGTAAGTAGTAGTAACCCAAATTAAAGGGCTTATATTACTTTATACATATTTCAAACCATTTCATTTCATTCTTACAAAAATATTTATTTTTAGTTGTATAATGTAATTTTGCTCTTTTATTATAAAATGCATAATTTGTATTTTATATATATTTTTATATAAATCAAGTAAAATTAAAAATATATATATTTTAGATGTGCTGACGTAACAGCTTACAAAGAATACGAGTAACATAAAATCACATCTGCAAATATTTTGCAAATTGATTACTAGCGATCTTAAAATGTGATAAATTATCATCACCGTCATCAGCTCAAGTTTTTTTTTACAGTTAAAAATATATCCCCTGAAGATTATCTCTAAAAATGTATCCCATCTCGTCCATGCATAGAGTACTCTCGCAACCTTGACTTGATCACAGTCCATCTCGTAGAAGGCCTATTTTCGCTTCTATTAGTTACCATTGATGGGCAATGTAATTAGAATCGAACATTTTAAAACGGTACTCAAGAAGTAGATATTGCACATCGTGGCCTAAATAATGTGCGCATGTCGAATAGTATTGATCTATTATATCTTGAAGTGGGAAAGCTTCCTTATTATTGTTTGAGTGACTCAAAAGTCATTGCATTTGAAAATGAGTTTTTTTTATTTCTAGAAATAAATTTTGTTTAACAAATATTTTTATTACTAAAACAGAAACGATTATTATAGACTTAATTTAAAACTACCATTTCCCCAAATAAAATCAATTCTACAAAAAATGCGTAAAACGGAATGCCAAAACCATAACCACCACCCACCTACCACCATATTGAAAAATAAATTAGTTTATCGATGATGTGATGTATAGAGGATGAATAAGTTTTAGTGATTTCGAAGTGGTAAAACATTAATGTATATTAGTGAAAATGTCGGGGAATTATGGAATGCAGCAATTAATCCCTGTAGTAAACAAATTACAAGATGCATTCGTGCAAATGGGAGTGCACATGTCTTTGGATCTTCCACAAATTGCAGTTGTGGGTGGTCAATCTGCAGGAAAAAGTTCGGTACTAGAAAATTTTGTCGGCAGGTGAGCTTATAAATTATAAACATCAGTGAGTCCCTAGTTTTTAAAGTTAGGTTGATATAAATCTTTTAAATAATCATGTGGTTCAAACTTTTATTGTCTTCTGTTATTAAACGACTATTTGATAACTATTGGAATAGTTTACATGATTTGGCTAGTTAAATTGTTTATTTTGAATTAAATCGATTCAGTTAGCGCTTAAAAAAATTTCATGTATTAAAAAAATATCCCTAAAGATATGACATGTCTTGTGAGCAAAGTATTGTCATTGTTTTGATACAGATAACAAAACCAGAAAAACTTTTTACTTAACAAAATATAAACTTTAGAGTTAAAAATAGGTAGGTACTTTGAATAATTAAGGTCTAGTACTAATAAATTTATTGATTACTATGATTAAATCAATGAAGGATTATAAACTAAAATTATTTAGTTTTAGTGCATAGCATCAAAATACCAAAGTTCTCTTTCAGTCAATAATTTTATTGTTAATTTTTTATATAACTTAACCTTACCTTGCGTATATGTTTTACAAAAATTTATATGCAAGTTATTATTATGTTGATACTGTTAATGTTAGAAAAGAACATCAAAATTTTGACTAAGGTGAAATCATGAATGAAGAAGAAAGAAAACAAAAGTGTGAATAATATGTACTGGCAATGCAACTCTAAAAACCAATAAGATTATATACAGTTAGGATTATAAGAAATCGTGTAGAGGTTGTAAATTAACTGTCAGAATTAATATTGAAAGGCGATGTTTATATGTATAAAACATAAATTTGTGTTGAAATAGAATGAAAGAGAGAAATACATCATTATCATCTCCCTGACTTTGTCCCACTTACCAGATTTCCATCCTCAAAATTGGTTTATCTGCTGTCATCGCCATTGTCACCCCCCTTCATAAACACATCGCCAGAAAAAAATACATTAGATATGAAAAATCAATATTATGTATATACTCTTATCCATATTTTAATATGTTAATGATTTTAAATCTTTATTATTATATTTTGAACTCATGTTTCTATCTTAGGCTATAGACCATAGTACATATTTAAATTTAAAATTTTATGGTTGTGTAATTATGTTTAAATCCTATTAAGCAGCAACTTAGTTTCCAAGTCTAAAAGAAAAATATATGAGAAATTGTATTAACGTAAATGAGCCCACATTCAGTTCAATGTTATGTAATATTAGGTTGGGGAAAAGTAATCCGTTATTTTAGGTAGGTGGCTGTAGTGATAGATATTGTATTAAATTAAAGTATTGGTCACATGATTGTATATTTATCCTCCTCATAAATTTGACCAGTTCACACTAGAAAAACCTTTAACTGTTCTTTATGTGGTTCTTTCTGTTGTGGCTTACAAGGTGTAAAAAATGGGTGTAATCAAAGAAATTTCACTTCATTTTATAATTTTGTTTGAAGTTCAAGTCAAGCCGCTGACATTATGGATTGTGTTTAGGATCCCAATACGGCAACTGCTAAATACAAGAAATTTTGGTTTTGTCTATTCCATTCTCGATGCAAAACTCAGTTTGCACATTCTAGATCTTCGTCAAAATGACCTATGTAAATTTTAGTGTGTTATTTTCCAATGAGCTCATATGGAATCATGAATCATATAATTATGATTGTGGTATAACAAGATTTTGTTGTCCAAAATTGGTATAAAATATGTTAATGTCATAATTTGTAGGGCATAAAGAGATTTATTATTTATTAAAATAAAAATGAAAACTATTTACCAATACAAAATTTTTATAGAAATGATTATTGCTGCCAGTTGCTAGATATCAGTCATATTGTAAGTTAGTGTTATATTTAGATTTAATTTTTCTCCAGGGATTTCTTGCCTCGAGGTTCGGGAATAGTAACTCGGCGGCCCCTAATTCTTCAGCTCATACATGGAAATGCAGGTATATTTGTAATATTTCAACATCATTAGCTAAGGAAACATTTAAATTCATAAACAAGTACTGTAGAAAGAATTTATAATAAAGTAATGAGTTATTGAAAAGGATATAATAATATAAAGTTATCATTTAGTTCACATGTGTTTATTATCAGGATATAGGCAGGAGCCGTGGGTGTCAACCACCCAATGTCTGACCAGATCACTGGTGTGTCATCAGGGCTGGACATATAAGCTTTACATATTTAGTTGTCACTTTGAACATCAGATGATAGTATATTGCTTAGAAAATACATTTTGTGGACTTGTGCTGTGAAGGCCAGTTAGAATTTTATTTCTGCGTGATTGTTGTTCTTTTTGGTGTAGTTGCTTATATAATTAAAATAAATTTATAATATTAAAGCAAAGATTTTATCGACAGTGAAACTTTCTTGTTTTTATTGACAACCCTAACAGTAATCAACAATTCCTGGTCCCCTTGTTTCCCATCGTGATTTGCTCAATTAATCAATGTGCATTGGATATTTTATATATGTGTTTCATGTTTGTTAGAATATGCCGAGTTCCTGCATTGCAAGGGCAAGAAGTTCACGGACTTCAACGAGGTGCGTGGCGAAATCGAGGCTGAAACGGATCGTGTGACCGGCAACAACAAGGGCATTTCTCCCGTGCCTATCAACTTACGAGTTTATTCTCCCAATGGTATGTCCCAATGACGTTTTTGACCGCAAGTTCAAGTTCTATACAAGTATGTCTTAGATAAGAAGCAACGTTTCCGAATAGCATAGATACGTTGATGTTTGCATGAAGAGGCGAGAGGTGTGTCAGAACTTGACCTAATTATATTACTTTTTAGTATTGCAATAAAAAAGAAAAACAAAAGGCCAATTATGTTTGTTTAATATATCGTACATTCCCAGTTAAGTTATATTTATAAATTAAAAAGTTCCTGATATCGCAAGAGGTCATTGGTTCCATTCGTTATCGTTTCGACTATCCGCACGAATATCTTAGGCGCAAAGTATATATAAACACAACATTTTAAAGATGAAAAAAACAACGTATTGTTTACATATTTATACACATACAACTGTTTTTTAAATATGGATTCTAAGAAAAAAAGTGGGAAAAGGTTAAAAATTTTCTTTCTATTGTTACTTTCTGTTACAATTCCTGTATTGATTATTATAACCACATTATATATAAACTGTTGAATTGATTTATATCTTTTGAAATAAATTACATCGATAAAAACGTAGGTAGTGCTTATTACGACCGCATTCTGTGGCTCTCAGCTTCGCACTCGAGGAAAGGTCAAAAGGCAAAAGTTCAGACTGCAGTCACTTCTTAATGAGCTTAGCGTCTGGATGTTCCACTTCTACTTTATTACTATTGAACAAGTTGCAACTTCATGTGTCATTCATTAAAATTTAATAAATATTTAATGCATTTTTCGTATTGGATATTAAAAAAAAAATCAATCATTTTAGAATTAATGAATGACTTGGCATCCAGGTGGCAGTTTTCGATCGGTCTCTTTTGTTTAAAAGAAAGGAAAAAAGCTATCTTGTCCCTATTTTAGGGTAGATTTTGCAGTCTGTACCTTTTCCAATCACTGGTGAATCTTTTAGGCGACAAGAGTAATCTTATCATCGTCAATCACGTTGTAAATTTTTAACGAATTACTACAAACTGTAGTTCTGTAGATAAAGCGTCCGTTTGACCGAAATACGCTTCCGTTTTTATTACAAATCTTTGTTAGTACGTTGTTTTTAAATGTTTCAATATTAACCATTATATATGCATCTTGTCTTAGTTTTATTGTTGTATTAAATTAAACTGAAATATCTTAAATATGGGTACACACATTTTTTTGAATTACTTTATTGATTTTTGTTAGTTAAAAATTTCCACTAATGATATCATTCATGAAGGACTTTTAATCGTCTCGGCATACTATGAATCAGTCTCGATTAAGTGCCTTAGATAAAATTACCGTAAGTATAAAATTGAAAACTATTCACCTACTGAATGTTAGAGTCATTAGTCATTATAGTAATTATACGTTATAATGATATAGGTACGTTTCCTGTATACATCTTAAATGTCTTATTAGTTTGAGAAAACCTAGCGACCTTTATTTATTATTTATTGATATAGAACGTCTAAGAATTTCTAGTCATAAAATAAAAGGAACAAAAATGGTGTGAAGACATAAGTGTGCGGTTGTTGCGTCGAATAATCTTACTTCTTATTGATATTATAAATGCGAATGTTTCGATGGATGGATGGATGTTTGTTTGAAGGTATCTCCAGAACGGCTGAACGGATTCCGCAGAAATTTGGCATAGATGTAAAGCATGGTCTGAAAGAACACACAGGCTACTTATTTAGTTTGTTTTTGTTTCCGCGCTTACGGAGTCGCAGGCGAGCTAGTCCTTAAAAAAACTTGTATTCCTGAGGTAACAAACAAGGTTACGAAGCAGTTGGTTTGCTTTCATTGAATATTCGGCGCAGGAGAATCTAATAACGTTGTGCGGATTGTCGGTTCGTAATGAGATTGCAAAAGATTACGATAATTGTTATGCGATACGCGGCCGATTGTCAGTGACCTACATGCTCGCGCAACAACGCTCCTCCTCGCTACCTTTGTTTATGATTTTTCATACGTAAAACATATATGTACACTCAGTTTGTAATTAGAAAAGACTACAGGGTATCCGAATACCGTTAATCCTAGATCTACAAGCTGAACAGTATAACTGTAGCATTCGTTGTGCTATATTTGGCTCGTTCACGTACCGACACGTGTTGCCGGCTCAAAGGTCTGACATCGACTGACGTCCCCTCTCTCCGGCATATACTTATGGCGTGTACGCTCGAGACAAACAACACTACGTTTACGCATACACTACAATAACAAACAGCATTTTTACCAGTGTATATCTTGTCATATCAGTCACTTCTTAAATATATTACTTATCTTCTCTCAATGACATTTGTCATTGAGAGAAGATAAGTAAGACCAGGAAGATCGGTTTGATTTAATTATATGAAACTATATCAATATATGTTTAAAAGTTTTTCCATGTAACAAAATTCTGGATGGATTCTTAAAACCTTTACCTTCTATAATATTTGCATGTTGTGATATATATTTGTTGTTGGATGTTTTTTTTAAATCTTTAGAATAATACAGTAAAATATTGTGTTATCGGAACGACAGGTCCCCATTCACGAATATAATATTGATAAATTGTATTGACACTCGCTGACCGATATAATTCCTATTAACGTACTAGTTATTCGAATTGATAACGTTATCTGGTATGTTAATTAAAATAATATCTCGAGAATAATATAATTCTCAGTATTAGTCATATGTGCCTAAACATCCCAGTCCTGCAGCAGGCCTTGTATTGACCAAGTACATCAGAGTTATGTGATGATTAACTTCTAAGACTAAGATTCGTGGCCCATCATTCTATAAAACTAAAACCGACAAAGATTTCTATACAAAGCAATTTTATCGAATTGTCTTAGTACTAATCCATTTGTGTTTTTAACTCTTAACACAAAATTATTAAGACGTGACTTCGACTGTTTAGAGTAGTCTTTCCCAAAGTGGGCGATAACGCCCCCTTGTGGGCGCTGCAGGTCTCAAGGGGGGCGGTAAGAGACCCAGAAAGAAAATGGGGGCGTTGTGTAGAGGCTTCGGGGGTGATTTGTAATTTTATTTAGCTAGGAGGCTTCTTAGACAACGACTACATGAGCTCTCGACTCTCAACGACTTGTGAACATCAAGTAATATGAATTAAAAGATTGCTTAAACTCTAATATGGGGACGCTAAAAACTGGGAACCACTGGTTTAAAGGATGGTCAGGGACTACATTTTATGCAATATCGTGTCTATAATAGTTATCTAGATGCATAATACGGACGTACTTAGATATAGGAATATATGTATAACTATAGAAAATTCCTCAGGTCACTTCGACATAAGAATTTTTATATTACCTACATCATACATTCTTGCAAGTAAATAATAGATTAATTGTACCATCTGGATTGTTTTGTATTTGACATCGCATATTTGTATGAGACAATACCTCATGTTGGTCTAGCCATGGCATTAAATGTTTTATCTTATCACTGATATCATCTATTTTGATTCGCATGTAAGATGGAATGTGCTTCTTGATCGAAACAACCTCGATTTTGTTCTAAATTATTGTTTTATTACATGTATCTGTCAATTGTTTTGTAATGATGATTAACTTACCTTCTCACATATTCAATTCGAATCCTATTTCAACTATATTTCTTCTTCTTCTTCTTTTAGTTACTAATGGACCCGCATCGTTTAATTTCGACGATTTCGCCAACGTCAACGTCACGTAATTGAAGACTAAAAAAGTTTCGGGCAATTGAAAAATATGTGTTCTAAAGAGCCTCTTCCAAGCCGCTATATTTAACATATAGGATGATATTATGCAAATTACACATCGATATAAAAATAGCAAAGTGTTTATCGTAACGTGCTGGCGTGAAATAAGTACTGTTTGTATACGCTAGCAACAGTTTTCATTTTTATTCTACTTGTGCTTTGACTCATACAGAAAGATACTCAATATATTTCGTAGAATTAACAAAAATTGTCTGTGATAGCAGAACATATGTACTAATGCAGAATATATAAAATTTTTACAAGTGACGGATTTTTGTCGCTTCTCAAAACAGATGGGTACAGCTTATGGTCAGATTTGTTGTCACGACGCTTTCCATATGGTGTCTGTGAATTGGCGTTTTTGTAGTCAATACATCGTACAAAAACATATGTTTTTGTATAGGTATAACACCAGTGGGAATACGGTGAGTTTACGAGGTCTTTTCAAGAAGACACTTTTTTTTCTTTTTTTATAACTGTAATGTGCAGACTAAATTGCCAGACATATGTAAATTAATTCAATTACTTCCACTTGCGTGGCATTTCATTCGTTGGAAGCCCTTGAAATTATTCGGCGAATCGTGTAAGCCTCATCATTTCGGCGCAGCCGGTCATGATGCTAAACATGCATTGAATGATTAGTTCAACTGCAATAAGGCTATGCTAGGTCAAGATGATATCACTTGATAAAGACAGTTTGACTTCTTTCATATAAAATTTTAAACTTGAAGTTGGTTAATAGGTTCTACCTATTGAAATTGAGAAGTCATTAACTGCTGTTGTATACAATTGTACTATGTTAATTTTGACAAAGCTGAACAGTATTTGTTGTTGTCCAGTGCTGAACCTGACGTTGATCGACTTGCCCGGGCTGACGAAGGTCCCCATCGGTGACCAGCCGGTCGACATCGAACAGCAGATCAAGGCGATGATCTTCCAGTTCATCCGGCGCGAGTCCTGCCTCATCCTCGCTGTCACACCCGCTAACACTGATTTAGCTAATAGCGATGCCCTCAAGCTTGCCAAAGAAGTTGATCCCCAAGGTAAGAAGACCAAATGTCCTCTTATTTCTACCTTTCTAGACCTATTTCGAGGAGTTGGTATCTTTCATATGCTATCTGGTGTATGAACAATAATACTAAATAAAGGAAATTATCGATCACTTTAAAAAAAGGTTGTGTTTTGAACGACAATTATTTATAAATGTATAAGGAATAATTTAGTAGTATACCAAAAAAAGTCTCAACAAATTTCATTATGGAGGTGTTCAAATCAATAGTTTTATTTATAGGCGTTCGATTAATTGCTATTTACGACTTTGTAGTTTCTTATTGAATTAAAGGTTAAATTGGAGATGTATACAGGTAAAGTATTTTCCTGTACTCAGGTCTGCGGACGATCGGCGTGATCACGAAGTTGGATCTCATGGACGAGGGTACGGACGCGCGCGATGTGCTGGAGAACAAGCTGCTGCCGCTGCGGCGCGGGTACATCGGCGTCGTCAACCGCTCGCAGAAGGACATCGACGGCCGCAAGGACATCTCCGCCGCCCTCAACGCGGAGAGGAAGTTCTTCCTAAGGTAACCGCACAACATCTACAAATAGGAAAACATTCACACCGTTGCAAGCCTAACTGTGGGTTTCTAAGACCAAAATCTCAATTTAAAACATATTGTTATCTCTGTTTTGTTGCTGATGAAACACAGGCATGATGATAAGTTTTATACAGATAATTTGGTCTAAGAATCCTATGGTGAAAGTGTATTGACAACTTCTGTTTCTATAAATTCAACTTTTTTACAAATTGTATTTGTCATTTTACCCTATTATGAGTGAAAAATAAACCAACTGAAGATAGGTAAGGCTAATTTAAGTAAAATGATCTCTCACCAGTCACCCATCGTACCGTCACCTCGCGGACCGACTGGGCACCCCGTACCTGCAGCGCGTGCTGAACCAGCAGCTGACCAACCACATCCGCGACACGCTGCCCGGTCTACGTGACAAGCTGCAGAAGCAGCTCCTCGCTCTGGAGAAGGATGTCGAGCAGTACAAGCACTTCAGACCTGATGACCCCTCCATCAAGACCAAGGCTATGCTGCAGTGAGTAACAGAGACGTTATATCTATGTAACCATTACCTTTTTCCTTTTATTTTCACGTAGTCTTATGCGATAAAGCAGTTTTCGCGAATTGATTATGGTTATGTATTATTGTTTCCTTACATGCCCTTGGTATGTAATCATTTTGCCCTTATTTACCCCTAGCTGTCACCGGCGACTCCGTACGCGCGGAATTCTTCCAGACTATGTTCTACATACACATGTAGAACGTAGTCTGGAAGTATTCCGTCAATATCCGCCAAATTTCATCAATATCCGTACTGCCATTCTGGAAATACCTTCAAGAAAACATCCATCCATCCATCTAAACCTTCGCATTTATAATATTAGTAAGATCGCTTCTCTTAAGAGTACATTACATAATTCGTATTTTAAAGTCTTCACTGTTCATAATGGAAGCTTTGATAATTCAAATTTTATTTATTTTGTTTTACTAAAATATAGTACATTGATGTATGAGGATGTTGATATGGAATGTGTGGGTGAAATCAATGACTAAACATTTCAAAACAATAGATTAATTCCTGTACCATGATGTTATTTTACCATTGTCAACATTCCTAAGGTATAGGTAAAGTCAAATTCTTTGTTCATTTAAATACATATATTATCAATCAATACATAATACAAACTTATAAATATATTTTGTTACATCATTTGTTTTTGTGAGTGTATGTTTCATATTTAATTTTCTTTTCTAATTCTCTGGTTAAATACATCTTTATCTTGATAAAATATAAAATCATGTTACTTCAGGTCTATATTATTTTATCGATTCATCATCATCATCATCAGCTCGCTATACGTCCCCATCGAGGGGCTCGGAGTCTACCCTAAGTTAAAGGTGATTAGGTCAACCACGCTGGCCAAGTGCGGGTTGGTTGACTTCACACATATCTTTGAATTACTTCTCAGATATGTGCAGGTTGCATCACGATATTTTCCTTCACCGTAAGAACGTCGGATAAATGTACATATGTAAATCGGAAATCGAAAAACACATTGGTACATGGCGGGATTCGAACCCAGGACCTGCAGATTGCAAGTCAAGTGCTTAACCCCTGAGCCGATTAGTACTATACAATTATTAAGAGAATTTAAAAATACTCGTATGCTTGCAGAATGATCCAGCAGCTTCAGACGGAGTTCGAAAAGACTATCGAAGGTTCGGGATCGGCTCAGATCAATACTAACGAGTTGTCCGGAGGAGCTAAGATCAATCGGCTCTTCCACGAGCGTTTCCCATTCGAGATCGTCAAGATGGAGATAGACGAGAAAGAACTGCGGCGAGAGATCGCATTCGCCATCCGAAATATACATGGTATCAGGGTATGTCCTTAGTATTCATATTTGAGAAGTAATCTAGAGTTAAATATAGCTAACCTTGTGTCCATACGTAAAATACACACCAAGTATTGGCTAAGGAAATACATGTAAATAATTAAATTATATTTATATTGATGAATGTTTTTTGTTGTAGGTGGGTCTGTTCACGCCAGATATGGCGTTCGAAGCCATCGTTAAGAAGCAGATCTCCCGGCTAAAGGAGCCTTGTCTCAAGTGCGTCGATCTGGTAGTCCAGGAACTGTCCAATGTTGTTCGTGTTTGCACTGAAAGGGTGAGTTGAAACAACTATGTTGAACTAAAACGTTTAATTACACCGAGACTAAAATATTTTCCCATAAGGGTCTTATGCCATTTTTGACGTCGACAGAAGAACCTACAAATTGCAGTTGCAAGTGAAAGTGCAACACTAAGTAATTGATTAAGCCTACCTCATTGGTCAAATTACATTGTTAATTTAAATTCTGACTGCCATATGATCCTCGTAGACTATAATTTTCAAATCTAGCGAAGAAATATTTATTCGGTGGTAAATCATAGATTGATTTTATAAGTAGGATTATACATATTCTAGATGTCCCGGTACCCGCGTCTGCGCGAGGAGACGGAGCGCATCATAATGTCGCACGTGCGGTCGCGCGAGCAGCAGTGCAAGGATCAGCTCGTGCTGCTCGTTGACTGCGAGCTGGCCTACATGAACACCAACCATGAGGACTTTATAGGATTCGCCAAGTAATTACACCAATAGCTCAATGATTAGGAGTACGAATTACTGATGTAGTGGTCGAGGGTTCGAATCCTGCCATTTGACTACTTTTTGTTAACCAAAACACAAGATTATAGCTCACCTAGGTTAAATTAAATAATAGTAAATTAACAAAAAACTGTTAGTTTTGATAAAAAAAAAAACAAAAAAAAAGCCTCGATACGACCAAAAATATTTAAATTAAACAGTTATAGTTGGACATTAGAAAAATTGTTTACAAAAAAAATCTTACAGTGCTCAGAATCAGTCGGAGAATGCAGCGAAATCTGGTCACCGCACACTCGGCAACCAGGTGATAAGGAAGGGCTACATGTGCATTCATAACCTCGGCATTATGAAAGGTATATCATTTTTGTTACCTTAATACATTGTTTTTGTTGTCAATGTTTGGCATGCAATCTCAGGTCAACCACTGATAACGGCATATATGATAAGAAAATCTGATTATCAATTTTTTAATCTGATACAAATGTAAATATTTTTAATGTCAGTTTATAACATAAACGTTTGTTATTTTTGTATAATTTAACATTTGAATTGCCCTAAACATTGATTAATGATCACAGGGAGAAGGGAATTACTATGTAATAAGTATATTTGATATGTATCTAATTCTCTAATTTTATTTTATTCTTCTGCTTTTCTATAATAATTTATCTTTTAATCAAGAGTTTAAATAAAAAAAATTATATAATGCTAGAGAATCCCTTTAGTTATCAGGCAGTCATGTCGTATAATGTGTGATGTGCAGGCGGCTCCCGTGACTACTGGTTCGTGCTGACGTCTGAGAGCATCTCGTGGTACAAGGATGAGGAGGAGCGCGAGAAGAAGTACATGCTGCCGCTGGACGGGCTCAAGCTGCGAGACCTCGAGCAGGGCTTCATGTCGCGCCGGCACATGTTCGCACTCTTCAATCCTGAGGGCAGGAATGTTTACAAGGTATAACTCTTTTCAAATATCCGCTACAACCCAACACAACTAAAATTGTCTTCTGCGCAGCGGAACATCTGAAAACAGTAGAAATACAAGGCTTATTTTACACAAATATTAAAACTAAGCTTTTTCATCATTTTTGATAACAACTTTCGAGCCTTAGGTGGTAAATGGACGTTCCCTAAGTGACGATTGTAAGTTAATATAATAGTTAACATTAATTACGGTGTGATAACAGGATTACAAGCAACTGGAGTTGTCGTGCGAGACACAAGACGACGTTGACTCGTGGAAGGCGTCGTTCCTCCGCGCCGGAGTCTACCCCGAGAAGACCTCCGAAGCCGCCAACGGAGATGAGGTGAGATTTTGTATAAGCACTGTTGGGCTATTTCAGCTTCCTTTTTTTCATATTTCTCTTTATTTAATTCTCTTCTAAAAACGCCTCTATCAACTATCTATGTCTATATCTTATCTTATTAGCATTTATATTATTATAAGTATATAACATATGTATGACATGTATATAATGTGTGAATGCCTCCGTTATGTTTTACATTAATGTGTTGTTCTGTTATGCTAAACAGGGCGAAGGAAATGAGGTTTGTCATCGTAGCATTTTTAAATCAATATTCGGAGTCATTTAGTTATATTGTTAATGTTGATTTTTGCTTATTATGATGAATTTCAAGAGTTATATGATAGAACTGTTGAAAGAAGCGTTTGGGGTCTCTTGAAATACATGTTTATTGTCGCTTGTCGGCCTGCAGGTGCTAACTAAACTAGCGAATCATTAATGTGGCACTTTCGCACTCACAATGCACGCTAACTTAGATATAAGGTCATTCAAATTTTGTATGAGCGGGAATTTAAGAAATTTGTAAATTTATAATTTTGATATTCACGTTTTTTTTTTCAAATTTTCTTTGAACTTTTATGTTTTTACTTTGTTATTATTTTTTTTAGTTATTTCTACCTCTTGGGTCGGCTGACAATAAGAAAGTAAGTGATTAGTATATCAGAGCTTGTTTGCCGGATTTGAGAAATGCCTAGGGGGTGATTTTTTTTTCTTTGAGTAAGTCTAAGCTAATCGATACATTAAATTGCATGAGCAATTTATTTAATTGGCTAAATCTCTTACTGTATATATTGTAGAAAGAGAATTGTAAAAAAAAGCTTTATAGAGCTTTATTAATTAATTCCGGCTCATATAACATTTTGGTTGTGGTGAGAGTCTTTCTAGTAATGAGAGTTGTTGCATTTCTGGATTGCGGTGAGTAAAATAACACAACAAAAAATAACACATTAACAATGTAATTTGTTATTTTTACTGCTCAAGTCTACTATTTTAACATGTTTTAAACGATATATAAATTGATTTGGGCAATATTAAAAAAAAAAAACTAATTTTCTAAGATTTAAAAGTAGAGTACTTAATACTAGTATATTTGAGCATGGCAACATCGTGTTAGGGATTAGGTTATTAATAAAATAGTTTTTTTTTAATTTTTTTTATAATTGTGTTTCATAATGCTTTAACATTTTGTGTAATTTTAATAAACGCCGTAAACAACTAGACATCGACGAGTTTTTTTGGTGAAGGATTTATTTATTGTTTATGGTAACATTTAGTAAAACTCTATGGTCGGAATCTAGTTGTAAACGAAATGTCGTAGAAATGTGTTGTATATAGATGCTGCTATGATTCTCTACATATATCAACACAATGACATTAACACATTGTATGGATACCTTTACATTTTCAGTACATATTCTTTTTGTTCAGGACGGAACTACTTCCAAGGATTTTAAAAATAAAAGTAATAAGAATCGAGTTGATTGAAATAAAAAAAAATAGGGCGAATAATTGCACAGAAAATTATAAACAAAGTTATACAGCGAATATTACAAAAAACAACAGTATTTTTGTAATCTTAGCAATTCTAAGAAATAGTACCAATATAAACTTTACGTATTAAAACTATACATAATGAAAACTGTACTTCAGTTTGTTTCCTCGTAATATTAATGTAGTGTATGGTGATTGTTTACAGAACTCCGACAGCGCGGGCTCCAGCAGCATGGACCCTCAGCTGGAGCGGCAGGTGGAGACTATCCGCAACTTGGTGGACTCGTACATGCGCATCGTCACCAAGACCACGCGCGACCTCGTGCCCAAGACCATCATGATGATGATCATAAACAACGCTAAGGACTTCATCAACGGAGAACTCCTCGCTCATCTCTACGCCTCCGGTGATCAGGTACAGATGTCACATTTGTTTCTTATCTTACTAATACTATAAATGGGAACGTTTGGATGTATGTATGGATGGATTAATGTTTTTAGAAGGTATTTGCAGAATGGCTCAACGGATCTCTCTGTTATATGGCATAGATGTAGAACATAGTGTAGAAGAAGACATTAATGTAATTTGTAAATATGTGCAGTCTCAAATGATGGAAGAGTCCCCGGAGGAGGCGCAGAAGCGCGAGGAGATGCTGCGCATGTACCACGCGTGCAAGGAGGCGCTGCGCATCATCGGGGACGTGTCGATGGCGACAGTGAGCACGCCCGTGCCGCCGCCCGTCAAGAACGACTGGCTCGAGAGCCGCCTCGACTCCAACCCGCGTCTCTCCCCGCCCTCGCCCGGCGGACCGCGCCGCGCCACCCCAGTACAGCAAGGTATAATCAACAAACTTATTATGTGATTAGAGCGTTCTTGCCTTCAGGGATCCAGTCCTGGGTACAAAACCTGCCATTTAACAATTTTTTTTGATTTTCGATTTCCATATGTACATTTTCGACGTTGCAACTCAGAGTAAGGTCCAATACTGACAACTGACGATGATGAATTAATAATAATACTTTACATACACCTTCATGAAACAAATGCAAAGAATAAGATTAAAAGTACAATAGTAAATTTGATAAATGTACATATATTTAGGTTCGCTGGGACAACGCGGTGCTCCGCCGCCGCCCGGCGCGGGTACAGGTCGGCCCGCGCCTCCGCTGCCGTCACGACCTGGTGGTGCTGCGCCCCCGCCGCCCGCCGGACGCCCGCTGCCCTCGCAGGGCCTGCCCGCGCCCCTCATACCCACGTGAGTACACCACACTACACACCTAGTGCCACACTCACGAATCCTTTTTTTTATATTAAACGTCTAACAATAAGTTAGTTTAATAGAAGAATGCTAGACATGTCCCTTCTATCCGGAGAAATTCTCTTATCAACTTAATGGGTAATTTTGACTGATATAAAGTCTTCACGAGTCCATTGGGTCAAGTTGATGAAAGTTTTAAAAACTTTTGTATCATTTGAAGACCCAAATTTTTTGGATAGCGTTAGGCCTTAATTGACTTTATAAAATGAATTGTCAAGTCTAATATAAATATGTTTTTGTGTATGTATTTATGATATTATAGATATTGACTTCTAAAAATTGATGAAAGAAATGAAAAGTAAGTCTGTCATGAATTACTTTTGTTTTGTATGTTTTCCTCCATTGATATGTCCAAATCTTTATGTATAATACATGTGAAATTAACTTAATTTTCTTAAAAAATTAGAAAGAATTCTTTTTATTAAACGCATTTTTTCTAAGTCAGGTAAACATCGTGTAAGCTTTTTCGCTTTTAAATTATTTACCTTGGGTGATGTAACAGCCATAATATGTAGTTATTTGGGTTTTATATGTTTAATATATAACTAACATAGATCATATATAGGTGATTAGTAAATTGTATAATAAAAAATCTTATTTTGTGTTTTCCAAATTAACATTTTAGGATGTAAATTAAAATATAGCAAAAGTTTCTGGTTATTTTCGCAGACGGCGCTAAGTGGCGGCCCCGGCGCATCCCTAACTAATATAAGTTACATATTTGCCTAAGGTACTAACTCTTGCCCACGTTAACTTAGTACAGTTGAACATAGTTCTAGTGTGACCGCTTACACCATACACGATGCCCTTGTATTGTCCATTAATTAACCTATCCAAACATTTTAACATACTAAAATAACATAGCCAATTAATAAATCTTCATGTTAATATTTTCAGCAACCGTTTGACTCAGAACTTTGACTGTATTAAGTTAATAAAGAGTCAGAAATTTAATGTTTATAAATATTATGTCCTTTAGTAATATTTAAATCACGAATACTTATGATACGTCAGAGAACGTTGCTTCCAATATATATTTAAAAATTATAAATGTATGTAGGTATAAAATATTAAAAATAATGGTGTTGCTGTACTAGTTGTAGTCGTGTTTCTGAATTAACTTTTATCTCTGCTGTGTTAAAATTATTTTGCGAGAGAATGTACCGGCAAAACTTGTGATGATATAATTATTTCTGTGAGGTTGTGGCTCCATACAAAACTATATTTTGTTATTGAACATTTCAGTGATATACATTGTTTAGTACATTTTCTTACAAATTATGTTGAGGGTTTCACTATGTAATGTACAGTCAAGTGTAAATTTGCAAGAAAGCACTGCATGATTTGATATTTGTGTGTGTGATCTTCTATATTTGACTATCTTTATGGACACTATTATCTTCCTTTTCGAAAATTATCTTATTTATTGTGTGATGTAGATAAATTAGAATCTAAGCTGTGTAAGTTGTAATATAATCACAGTTGCCCTGTAAGTGCTTACACTATCTTTATATTATGGCAGTTACATTACTCGATAGTCTTACAGAGAAGCTGTGAGAGATTTAAATCGGTATCGTTTCATTTAGGTGAAAAAGTTTACATGTTGCAATGGTGGGCAATGGTGGACGATAGTGGGCGACAGTGGGCGATATTTAATTAAAATGAGAACAATGACTAGGCGGCCGGGCAGTGGCGGTGCCGGCGCTGTGGCGGCGGGCATGGGCCAGCTGCCGCCGCACATGCGTCAGCAGATCAACCAGGCGGTGGGCCAGGCCGTCACCAACGCCGCCATCTCCGAGCTCAGCTCCGCCTTCGCCAGATTCAAGTAAACATCGCTCTCCGCTCTCCGCGATACTCCGCACGCAAAACGAGCCATTAACAACTAATTGTGTATAGAACGAGCGAGTGTGTTGGCTAATCTTGCCTTCATATGAAATGACATTCATTATTATTGTACGCACGAGTACGTATAATAAGCGTATTCTTGCAAAAATACGTACGCATGTCAAAAAATTATGCAAAACTGTATAAAAAAGTTTGCGTATAAATGCCAGCGTACGCGTTCGTACTCGCGACGCACACGCACGCACATATAACGCGTACGTATTTCAGAGACGCTTTGTCTCACAACTTTGTCAATTTTAATACCATTTCTCGATGCTGAGCCTTATTGTACAAACTTAACCTGTTTGTGTACGTACAATTTGTATGCCACTTGTGTCGTGGTGTGATATCAGCTTTCTGTTTGTGTTCCTAACCTACAACGACGATGCTTCTGTTTTAAATAATTCAATGTTGACCAGTGAAAATAACGTGTTACTGATTCAATGTCAAATGAGTTTAATTGTCCAAAAATAAATATTTATAAAATCATATTAGTTTTTGGGCAATTCGACTCATAGTCTTGCTTTTGTGCTTTTAACTATATGTTCCAAAAATAATACTTTTTCTTTTAATTAACGATTATATCTTGTGATAGTGTACCGATGTTACCATAGTGTAATTAAATTTATGATACATACCTTCTATATTATGTAAAATGTTTATTTGCTCAGATTATAGTAATATTTTTTAAATCAAATAACTAATTGAAGATCACACACATCTTGTGAGTAACAGTGCTTTGTATTGAAGATATGCTTTACGCTTACGGCGGCTAAATGTTATAAAAATAAATATTTTTTTAGCAACGATTATATTTTCAGTATAATGTATTTATTAACTAATTAGCATATGGTCTTAGTTTTATTTAACATTCCATAATATGAGGTATAAAAGAAATTAAATGTTATATGGTAGAAATTAGTAATCGACTTATGAATTCAGTATTAACTGCGCGTTTGTTATATGCAGTGCTGTAATATATATAAAGGATACATATAAGACGAAATATTATCGTTCTACTGCTATGTTTTATTGACTAAAATTAATACGTAAATTTTATTAATGGTGTCGTATTTTCCGTTTTCGGTGATGATATTTTCAATGTTATAAACACGGATCATATACAGAGAGTAAATACACTGTCCTTCTATTATTAGAGACAGTTTAAAGAGTATTACTACTCAAATGTTGTCTTTGGAGAAAAAAAACCCTTTTTCAATGAAGTGGGTGGAGTCAAAGCCCCGCCCCTTTACGTACGTGCGTGCGTGCCGTCGTGTATGTAGATACGACGCATTGATACTACTTTGTATACGTTCCGTGTGATTGTGACCTTGAGTGTTCACTATCGTAATGAAAAACATATTGCTATCTCTTTTATTTAAAAGGAATGAGAGGGATAGCATATTGTATATGTGTTTTCGGTAGTGGAATCTCAAGGTCAGATTGGTTTGTATATCTTGCATATCAGCATACGGTTCTGTAGCAGCTAGACGCTTAGACGTACACGCTACGTAATCGGAACATGGTTATTGTTGATGTTTATGCACATTGCCGTAGTTATAGATCGCGTCGCGACTTTCTCACTTTGATGTCTAGGTGTTCCGATAGCTTAGACTTGTTAAATTAGGACGCATACAATATGCGAATTCTCTAATCTAAATTATTTACTCTTCAAATGTTGTAACTTTTATGATATTAATCAATTTAATGTAAAACCAAATGTAACGCTGCATGAATTTATCCAAAGTTGTTTGAAAATTTTTATGTAAAATTATATTGTACTTATAATGTGTAAGACCAAAGCCGTTTGTCCCATATATTGTTGCTGTTAGCAATATCTTTGGTCAATTATTAGTATTCTTTCATTGTGGAAACATTATTGAAGTTCGTTATTAAATAATATATTTAACAATGGAATTTTAATCTTAACTATCGCCTAAAATTGTAGATAACATTTAATCTATCTAACAGTTCCCTTTACGTCTATATTAGTAACAATACAGAGACACTTTTACTTTACTCGTGGATTTTTTTTTAACCAGATATTGTATTTTTAAACGATTTTAATTTTAAATTTGTTGATAAATCGAGTTCCTAATATAAGACGATATTTCAATGCATTTCTCGCATATATTAGAAAGGAAAGACAATCTAGCGTTTTGATCTCTATCTCTTTCTCTCTTGTTAATAAATAGCATTAGTGAAGAAAAAAAAACGTATAGACAGAAATTGTTGGATTTGATATAGTTTATGAATATTGTTAATCAAATGCTGTGTATATAGAGTGATTAAACGCTATATGTGTATCGAAATGTTTGATTTATTCCAGTAGGCTAACGATATTTGCTACGATTTGCTTGAATTCTCTCTAGCAGTTTGTTTTTTTTTGTGAGATTTATATACGGATATAATTAGGTAAGCGAAACCTGGATAATGTATACGATATGTTCCAATAAGATTTAAAGCATGAAATATAATAAATTCTGGTCCTAGCAATAACACTAATCTCACCCATCTCTATTTTGATGGATTAACCGTGGGTTTTTGAGTCCATAATCTTCGTTAAACATATTGTTATCTCTGTTTTGTCAAAGATAATGACAGGGATGAAATTTTAGGTTAGAGATTTAGGTGTCAGAAACCCACGGTGAGAAGGAATGAAAGTAATTTATAGCTAGCCTAATATAGTATTTTTATTCATTATTAATATAAGAAATGTATATTTCTTTAAATGTTATTGGAACACTTGTAGGTGTAATACGCATGGATTACGATGTACATAGTTGATTTGTTCTTTTTCCTTTCCTTTTTATGTTTAAGCATGCATATGTAGGTTTTAATTTTTAAGAGTTAATTGATGTTTTATATATATGAGAGATTTTGAATTTTTTGTTTAATATTTTTTATTTATCTACATATAGTTATTTGTTTTATTTTATATAAGATTTGCTTATATGTTCTTTCAACATTTTACCACGCTTTAAGTGTATCACAATGCCTTGCTTTCAACTCATACTGTTCACGATTTGCTATTTTTCACTGCATTTCACATTTTGCTTAAAACGTAAAGATTATGTGACAGCCATTTTGATTACAATTAATTTTGATTTAGAGTTACCAAAAATTGTCATTTAATCTAAGCGTAAAATTATCATAAATATATAAATGTTTAATTGGTACTAATTTTTATTTTCTCTCTCTCATATAGCCGACCAGTCCCGAACGCCCCACCGAAGCTGCCCGAGCGGCCGCAGAACGGGCGGCCATTTTGAACGCGCCTAAACTTCGCCGCCATTTTGTGATAGCACACTGTAAATATGTCATCTATGTTATTATTATATTTAATAGCAAAATATTATTAACAGAAACGGTTAGGAAATTTATATAAGAACAGAAATAGTCAATAGTGTTGGCTTAGGTTATATTTTGTACCTTTTGTTATGAAGCATTTCTTCTTACTGGTATTAAAAAAAAAATGAAAACGGTAAAATTAGATATATGAGGCTTTAAAACACATATCGGTGTTTATGTATTTCAGTACAAGAAATACATATATTTACGACTTGAATGAAATTAGATTTTTTTTAATCTTTGACTATTTTCCTATGATTATCGTTGAGTGTTTAATCATTGTGTATAAATAATTATTTAAGATTTTAATATTTAGTTTAATTTAAATGAAATAAATTATGTAGCTACTTAAAGTCCAAGTGATAAATAATTATAAATACATTGTATAATTAATAAAAAGCTATCCCCAATTTATATCTTTATCTTATTATAATATTTTTAGTAATGTTCAAAATAATTTTTAAAACGACTAAAATATAATTTATAACAATTTATCTTTGTCGCCGATTGTTGGAAAAGTCACCTATTTCGTATACGTACGGCAACGTATAATTACGTATTCGTTTCGTAGTATTTTGTTGTCTCAACAATTGATGTGAAATTATTAACTATCAAAAGATAGTCCGATCAAGTTTATAAATTTTCAAACTGAAGAATAAAGTAAGCTAATATAATAGAGACAGCTAACTAAATATCCATCAAATCAGATTATATAAAAGTTAAATGAATTTTAGTTGCATTAGTTAATCTAATTAAATTTTATAGTTCCCGAAATCTTACTCTACAGATGTTAACGTCGCTAAAAGTTGAGGTACAGTTGCCAAAAAAAATGATTAAAAAATTTAAAACAGTACCGTTTGTGTTAGATATTGGGAGTAATGATACGACCGCTAGCTTAGTGCAGACTGGTTTATTGGCGTCATTGTCAAATTGTGACGGCAGATACAGCAGCTGTTAGTTAACGTGCACAGATTATGCACTTACATGTACAACAGTTAGAAAAAAAATTTGTTATTACATTGGCTACAACAAAAAAAAAATCAAAAGCGGACGTATACTGAAATAATTTATCTAAATTGAATAATATTGTTAGGGGACTTAGTTGGTAATGAATGTTGGCTTTCTTATTGCTATGTGTCTTTAAAAAATGTTGTAATGTATTTACCGATATTGTTTTGGTTTGGCGCGTGAATATTGAATCAATTTCTTTTTATAATTTAACAAATGAGATTGTTTTTTAATAACTATGACGTCACTAATCTATTTTTTATTAACGCTTTTATGCTTTATTTGTTATATTAACAACCTTTCAAAATGATTACAATTAAAAGGGTATTTAATTTTGTATAGAAAATCTGAAAAGTGAAAAAAAAAATCGTTTATTTGAAAAATAATTAAGCTCTGTATATTTTTCTATTATTTCAAAAATGTTGATATTTTTTGCGGTGTTATTGTTTTTTAATATCCTGTTTTGTTTCTACTTCAATTGTTTTATGAAAAATAAGAGATAGGTAGAAGAAAGGTAGAACGTAGGCATCTAACGAGTCGCTAGTCATAATTAAGTTTCTTATGATTTTTAACTAACTACTACAAAAGTGTAACTGATTCTACATACATTCCCTTTGATTCAATATTTACGCGTTAAACTAAATCTCGTGTGTATATACATGTAAAAATGTACTGTAAACATATGTTTAATTTATGTACTGATGTAAAAAAATGTTATAAATGTGTATATAATATGCAAGTTGTTTTTATGTTAATACCTTTACCAACATACCTAGAGGACAGACAATGCTTTTATTTTCACATACTAAATAAATCTCTAGAGAAACCAGTGATTGAACTTCTGTACTGTAAAAACATTTTACAGAATATTAAAAAGTATGAATATAAAACACAAATTTAGTATTGTAATCCTATATAATAATGGTATATATTAAGCAGCAATGTGTTACGGGCACACCCAATGCGCATCGAAGACAAAAACATCGGCCATTATTACAATTTAATGAAGAGAAAGCCATTAGGAGCTGGGACTTGATTAAATCGTCGGCGAGCAATTGTCGGCTCGCGGCGCCCTCTGCCGGCACGGGGGCTAATCGCACCGCCACGTTTCTTATTACGCGTGATTCTTGTATCAATCATTTCCCCTATCAAATTATTCAGTGGCCGGTAATTCTATCGCCGTAGTATCGTATCTAAGCCTTAATGGTAGTAATGGCAGTTGAGATGCGACGGTAATATTCGGCTGCACTTAGTCTCGGTTTGTTACTCCACTGATTGTTTGATTCGTAATACTGAAACAAAATTGGGGACAAATTTATACTATTGTGCTTTGTTGATCTCTCAGAGATCGTTTTCCCTATTGTATGTTGAAAGCTTATTTTTGATTCGCTTCGTTAACGTGCCAAATTCTATAGTATCAAAGAAATTTCTTTATTTTTTTACATTTAATACTTATGTAACAATTTGGAATGAAAGAGACGGAACTATGTAGAGTAGTGCGCGCGTTTGCCGTAGTAGCATATGAAAATGAAAATATAATGAGGTTATCCCAAAAATAAAATCAGAACATATATTTCTATTTTATTATTATAATTATTGATTTTCGTTTTGAATGCTTTAATTAACTAATTATGAAACTTATAAAGCTTACTGTAATAACGACAGTCACGAAGGTAAACTGCGAGGCATAGTTCTTATCGCGATGTACATTTATACGTACCGATTAGCTATGCAAATGCCTTGATTGTGTATTGTGGTGCGCTAAACAGTACGCCGCACTGGACGCGGTGTGTACGTAAGTGGAGTAATTGTACAAAATAGCCCTGGAAGCGATCGCTATTAGTCATTTAACGTAAAACAAAACGTGTAGGGTTAAGAAGTTAATTTAAAATAAAATCCGTGATTTTTTCTAAACTTTGATGTAAAATTAATCTAATATACTTGCAATTCAAGGTGTGATTTTACATTCCTGAACAATAACACAGTAAATTATTTTAATTATAATGTAATAGTGTAACGAAATATTGAACGTACAAAAATATGAAAGTCCCAAATGAAGTTGTTATTAAAGCTCCAAAATTAACAACGTAAAGAAAATCGACTTTGCCACATGTAACGTATTATTAAAGAAAATTAGCTTAAAAAAAATGTGTTTTTTGTACGTAATTAAATATCATACGTGTTCTACACGTGGCCAAAGTCAATAAGTAGATATTAGTGGCATTTGCCTAATTCAATTGGCAATAGGCGAGTTCCCACACGCCGAATGCCACCCCAGCTCATTACGCGCCCTGAATTTTCCCAGCGATTAACATGGCGGCCTCCTGTCGTAATAATTACAGGTGTGACTACGGCACGCACCACTTCAATCACGTCACATATGGCACGTTTGCTCTAACACACTATTCACACTACTATTTAAGTAAGAAAGCTCTATGGAATCATAGTCTTATACATATCTTACTAATATTATAAATGCGAAAGTTTGGATGTATGGATGGATGTTTGTACGAAGGTATCTCTAGAACAACTGCATGGATCTCGCTGATGCAGAACGTAGCTTGGAAGACCACATAGGCTGCTAATAAAGTTTTTTTTTCAGCGCAGACTTTCTCGCGGGCGAAAGCTAGTACAGGTATTATCGTAACTTCTATTAATATCCTGCCAGATCAGAAATCTTTATTTTATTAACTGGAGTCTTGTCTGCTATAGCTAGTTGAAATTCAGCCTCATATTGATGTCCACACTCAAAATCAATAGATAGTAGTTATGAAATAAAGTGTTAGAAATGTTTTAATTAAATGAAATAAAAAAATATATGTCTGCTTTAAGGTGCAAATTAATTGTCTACAAAGAGCAACTAATGTCTTGATGTTTTTAACGCTTACGTGATTAAAAAAAACTGCAAGCTACATTAGTTGAAAGCCTATGCATAACAGTTGTAAATACGAAACTATGCTAGAAAATAGCATCGTTTCATAATTATAGTTATTACTGAAAGTCGCGTTCATTATTTCGATTCAAGTGAGGTTAATTGAAAAACTTTTCCATCGATATCGTCAACCAACAGCCGAAAATTACGCTCTTACTCACATTACGACCGCTCACAGATTCCTATCGACTTTAATCCATAGGTTATTACTGTTTGAACTTTTAATAATGATTCCGACGTGACTTTGGTGTAATTGCGTCCAGTTCATGCCGTAATTACACCGAAGTGTAATTTTAAAACTTACAAAGTGATTACATTGTAGGAACGAAAATGTTTTACGTTTATATTTATTCGACCGACATAAAAGTATATAAGGCGATCGAATGATTATTATTGTAGTCGATAATAACGGTAAGTGAAGTATTATGTGCTTGTGAATGGTGAAATCAACAATTATACGAATTAAAAAGCGCGTCGGTTAGCGAAACAGTCAGAAGGGGTGTACTTGAACTCGAATACTGTAAGAGTGTTTTAACTTTGGCTAAAGAGCAACACTTTCCCAGCGCGAGTGTCCTTCAAAACGCTACTTTATGCATTTAGACAAATGAACAGCGTTGCACCCTCGCCGCCCCCTCGCCTCACCCTCCGTCTAGCACTTACAACGATGTACAAACTTACTAAAAATGACAGCGTACACAAACATGTACCATTACCGTAAATTATTATGAATCTAAAAGATATTATAGCGGTTTCTAGTGCATTATTCTTTTTTGTAATTTTGATTATTATTTTAAGAAAATAAAATAATGACGGCGCAACACACGCGGCTTTAGCGGAGGCCTAGCCCACTTTGGGTCACTGCGCCAGCGGAGTAAAATAAAGTTCGTATGAAAAGTTTTTAGGTTTACCTAAAGAAAGAATTGTGAGCTTTTCGATTTACTTATTAGAATAAAGTTATTCTTCAAAACCAGTATTAAATTCTAAATATACCAAATTATCACAAAATTATTTAACATTTGAACAAAGAAGACCTATAAATGTCATTTCAATAAACAAATGCATGAATTATGAAATGAACAAATCGCATCTAGATATTAGTAGATCTATGTAAAGGACAATAAAAGTTCCGCAGTACAATAGCGGAACTCGTAGGACACAATAAATCAATTGGAGTGGGTGGTTGACTTTTCACTCAAATGTGTGGTTAATTGTAACCGAAAATGACTGTTGATCGCGCCGCACTTAATTTGAGTGGTGCTTTGGTGTATTTGTAGGGGTTACATTTTGTGTAGCGCGGCAACAGCGGGGTGGAAAGTAAGTAATGGTGCAGTTAGCTTTATCATTATTTTGTATTTATTTTTACTTTGTAAGTATGACGGTAATGTACTTTAATCGTTTTAATGTTTGTTATTATATCAAAGAAAGAGGTTACATTTTATGATTAGAATTTTTATTTGAGTTTACGTGAATGTTTTAACTTAAACTTGATTTGATAGAAATATAACATGTTTTACTAATTAAAAAATAATTAAATTAACTAATGTATTTAAAGATGGACTGAGTTAACGTTGACGACCACCTGTTATGTAGTAATTTTGGTTGACTTCACATATATCTTTGAATTTCTTCTCAGATATTGTCTGGTTGCATCACGATGTTTTCCTTCACCGTAATATACGCTAAATATATATAAAAGCTCAATAACTTGTAAGTAATCAAATTTACGAAAGGCCTATGCCCAGCAGTGGGCAAAAAACGCTGATAATAATGATGGATAAAATTTAAATAGATCTTTAGACTCTAAAAAGTTTCATATCTGGCCTAGGGCGGAAAAAAGAATTCGCTTGTATTTATTTTGCAGTATTTTTCTGAAGTTCGTTAATGGCGATATCACCGGTCGCAGAATGGCATCGCACACTCGCTTCGGACCCCTTTCTGCACCCTCGCGTCGCTTAGCCAGCGCGCGGTAGACCACTAAAAACATAATTACACTATAATTGACCATTTACGTCATTTGACTTTGTAGACTATAATTGCGTTAATAAATTTGGATATTTTATGGCTAGATTAATTAAGAAGCGGAAGTTATATTGAAATTCTTGAGGAAAATCCTATTAATTTTAAATATTATAAGTATTTGAGGCGACCAAAAATAATTTGCGAACAATTAACAGTAGAGTGAATAGGCACTTACAAAGCTAGCGCGTAGCATCTTTCGACCAAATCTCCACTCACACCAGGTGGGATCGTGGTCAAGCGCTGGCTTATCAAACATAAAAAAATAATTGTGTTATATGATCGTGTATTCGAATCCTTCTTTGACTTCTGTCTTGAACCATATCTTAATTGCCAGCTTTAAATCGAACATTTGAAGTCAAGAATTTACAGATAACATTATTATATAATACAAGATTATAGTTTTTTTTTTCAATACAAATAACACGAACAATTAAGCTGATACAAATATTTGTAATATTATATATTTTAACAAAATTCTTAGTTTATAGTTCGTCAGGCCAATAGGCGTCGATCATTTTCTTGATGCGGTCATCCAGGTCAGCTGTGGGCGGTTGCTTGCCCAGCAGAAACACGAACTTCTCGTGGCAGTCCATCATAGCCAAGTACTGACCCTCCACTAGCTTTAGACGCATTGGGTAGCGGTGGAACTGTGCTAGGTCTAGTTTTGCTGGAAATATATTTGTGAATAAAATATTAATATTACTATTGATTTTTTTAATAAATAAAAAAAATGACTATAAACTACATATAAAAGTGTACTGCTCTACTAATAAACCTTATTTTCCTTTTATAAGACCAATTAAGATTTGACAAAGTTAAGGAATAGTATTTTCTATCATCATCATCATAATCAGTCTAAATTTGTCCACTGCTGGACGTAGGCCTCCCCCATCGATTGCCACAATGCCCGGTCCTGTGCCGGTGCCTATTATCATTATTTTAGTACTTTATTATAATGATAACAGGTTACTCCAAAACGACTAAACGTATCTAGATGATATTTGGCAAGGAGACTACTTTCTGATATTTAATTAACGCGGACGAAGTCGTGGGTGACGGCCAATATTTAGTTAAGTTTCTTTGTTTGCTTCCAGATAGAATGAATTTTTGATAAGTTAGGCATGAGATAAAATAAATTTAAAACATGTATACGTTAAGAAAAGGACTTTTAATTAAGAGAAATCATGTTAACTTTACAGGCAATTTTGATAATGGATCAAACTCAGTTTTTTGACAATACAACGTGGAAACAAATGAAAAGTTTGAGATTTCCAAATAACCGTTTCACAATATAATGGACCGATATCAGCGTGAGTTCGTTGTGAAACCAGGGCGCTGTATCTATTTGATTTATTAGGTGAATAATTTTTATGTACATAATGTGGGTAAAGCAGTATCGGACTAAGTGCCGTCGTCTATCTCTAGAAGTAACGTTATATGTTAGAGATTAATCAATGAACACCGTTTTTGTAATAACCTCACAATGATAGCTCCATTGAGTTTATATAATGCATTCGATTTATCTAATTTGCTGAAAAATAGAAAATTCAACCGTTGCCAAGTCGATTATGAACGTTGTTATTGCGTCTGCTATTTTTATGAATTACTAGCTGTCGCCCGCGACTCCGTCCGCGTGGATATATAAAAAACTTAATTAGTGTAGCCCACACATCCATCTATCCACATCAGATCCATTTAAACATTCGCATTTATAATATCAGTAAGTTAAATAAAAAGCAGCTCTTCAAGGCATACATTCGAAAAAAATAAAATAAAATTAGATGAATATATATGTCCGTCTCCTGGCTCTAAGCTACCTCCTCACCAATTTTCAGTCATATCGGTAAAGCCGTTGTTGTCTTATAAATAGTGTAACTAACACGACTTACTTCTATATAAAATATATAGATTTGTTAAATGCATTTTAGAAATCTGCAATGCATACGATATTTTTATATAACCGTCATTTATTTAATAAATTTTTATTGATTAGTTTGCTTTTTTTGCTTTTAATTTTTATGTATTATTTGAATAATGTTTTTGATGAAACTAATACGAGTCGTGTAGTAGAAAAATGTTTTTTACAAAAGTATGTTAATTGATCCACAAAATGTTGAAAAAGCGATCGTGATCAGTAATATCTGTATTGTATATATTATAAAATTCTTTTTTATTTAAGAAAGTAAAACTAACAAAGACTACTACTACTGTCAGATACACTTATTTAAAAACAAAAAAAAATTACGCGTCTTTTTAATGTTTTTAAAATCCAGGATAAGTACGTCGCCAGATAGGATCCGCACTAATGAACGCAACCAGTACCGCCAGCCAGATAGCCTAGACTCTATCCGAAAGAGCAAGAAGGTCGACATATCACAAAATCAGATACCCTGAAATTCTTACTTTTAAAACGTGGCTAGCTCCCGTAAAATACCATAAATTTACATTAAGCTATTTACAGACCTTTAGTTAAAACTGTGCAGTTACAACTGAATATTAGGGGCTTTATACACATTTAATAAACTTGGAACTCTACATATTAAAGTGTAAAGATTTTATTTTTAAAATCAAAAGTATTAACTATACGAACCTGTGGGGGAAGGCATTTGCAATGTTCTATACGAGCCATCACCTTCGAGTTTCTCCAAATAATAATCTCTGGTCTTGTTAGATTTTACGCTGGAGCAAGGAATCTGCATCTTTATTAGCAATCTATCCCAATTCATGTTTTCTACATACTGGCCAATTCGTTCTTGGAGATCTTTTTTTTCCTTTAAAAAAGTTGTTAATGGTTTAAAGCATAAAAAAATGAATAATCTTGTGCATATTATTTAAATTACGATGAAATGTACATATTTTAGACATGAATAAAGATAATAAAGAAAATTACCTGTTCACCGAAGTTTGTAAATTCAACGCAATGTGATTCGCCAGAACCTTTGGTTTTCTCAGTTTTAAAATGCAACAAGTGCCAAATACCGATCGCCTCAGAATCTTTGAACGTAACATTTTTAGAGAACTCTTGACAATTTGGCAGCTTGTCGTAGGATTTGGCTTCGACTATGTATAGATATACGATCGCTGAAAAATATCACGTTAAAATACTATTTTTTTAATATGACAGCTAAAGGAGGCAATCATTAAGTCTATGGAAATAAATTCTTAAATTTAGTGTAGTTTATTTAATGTAAACGATGAATAGCGTTATTGTATATTAGAATTATTTTACCTAAAATTGATAGCCGTAGAATATAAGCCATTTTGAGATATCCAGTGGCCGAGTCACGCAACACGAACCGCGGTAATGAACTGAATGACTTGATTAGGTGTATCAAAAGGATAACAGCATTAACAACTCAAATTGTGAGCACTTAACCCTTAGACACGGCAATTTTATTTAGAGGAACGTTTTTTTTTATAAGAATTCTCATCGTTTTGTTGAAAACAAAATGTTTGACGTAAGATGAAAAAGTTTCTTTAACGTTAACTCTTTTAAAAAGGAATGGAATATAAAATTGTGAAACAGCTTATTTGATGATTGCTGTGCTACTTAAATAGCGTATGTTCAAATCATCTCATTTGAATATTAAGGGCATGGCTTGGATGGATCATGCAATCTGATGCTAAAAAGGGAGGGAGACGAGGTAGGTAAAGATGAAATTGATGGTGGGAGAAGTTATGAGAAGTAGGTTCATTGTCCTGAATCGTTTCCTAATAAAGGTAATTAAATCCTTCTGGCTAAATCGATATAAAGACATCATCTTAAATACTAGTTGTATAAAACTACTCGACTGCTTCAGCCGACGGAAACTAAAACATTTTTGAGACATGTCAAGTCATTTGTTGGTATTTGCTGTACTTGGAGTTTCTATCAAACGGGTAAATGAGATTGTATAATATAATAGTAATTAATTTGATGAGCAATAAAATCACCAATGGGACAAGTTTCAAAAATTCCTATAGCATTTCAAAGATACGTAGAAATCTGTATGCGTTTAAAATTACAAAAAAAGTGCTAAATAAATCTAAAACCACAAATTTTTAAAATATGGTCTACGCTTTTTTTCTTTTATTTATCTAACAATATTGTATTTTAAGTCGAGTATCTCACAGTTTATTTTTCAATAAAAATATCTCATCCATAAAATTTATTTTAATACTCTTTGATGCGTAGGAGTTGGCGAGGATAGTCCAGTCGTAAACAGAATAAACTGTCGCATCCTGTCCCCTTGTCCTTAATGATTTGCCGGTTAGTCTTCTAATGGCTAGTCAATCCACGTTAATTGAATTATTAGCAGATTTGTACTACGATTGTCTAAAGCAGTGGTATTCAACCTTTAGATCAAACCTGCAGTCTTTTTAGAGACGTGCGAGTCGCGAGTCCTTGAATGAGTTCGGCGTCTTGTTTATTTACTTTTTCTTTAATAGTTTCATTACAAAGTTTGTTAATAAAACTACACTGAAATTTGGTAATTAATCTAAGAAACAGTAATAAAGAAACAGAGTTCGCTCTGCTTTTTACTCCAATTGATTAAGGGGGTATTTTTTTATTTGAAGGCACTGATACATTTTCTTTGTCTTTTAAATGTGTATGTCAAACAAAACGCTTGCATTTAGATCTCAAGACGCTTCATGTTTCGTGTTGCAGTTCGACCGCATATGTTTTTAGAGACGTCCTGTGTGGTTACCGAGGACTGGGCGCGTGGCTTTTGTTCTTACTTGAGTTCGCAAAATGTTTTTACTTTTACATAACACTATAATGGTAAATTATACTTTGTGTGATCTTAATAAAGAGCAAATTTAATTGTATGTTCGTTGTAACGTGTGGGGTTGCGGTTGCGGCTGCGCACGCGCTTCTTGTATTAACAGTCCGTAATGCCAATCCTTTGTTGTTGGTTACGACGTGGCGACATCTGTCGTTTGTTTGACTTAATTGTTTTATTTGTACTTCTATTCTATGGTGATTATATCAAATTACGTCTTTAGACAGTACTATAATATTCTCTGGTGTTTAAAAAACTATCATTAAATTTTGATGGGTTAGGTTAAAAAAAGAAGAGTTACTCGGTAAGAATATAGTACTACAATATTGGCAGAACTGCAACTTTGTATCAAGTTAACCAGAAGTTGCATTTTACCTCGAAATTGATAAGGAGAATAGCTTAGGGGCTTACACTTATAGCATAACGGCAAGGTTTAGATATCTGGCCGTACATAATCGTGAAGAATATAAATTAACGTACGGGATCTTTTCCAAACAGACCAAAGAGAATACTTATTTTTTCTTCTGTTTTATAAATTGTTTTCGGTTGTTATATATTACGATTGCCAGAATAGTTGTTATCATCATTGACAGTCGCCTTTATATAACAGCTTATTAATTAAACTGTGTAAATAAGCTGTAATCTAAAGTTGACTGTTCAAATGATGGAAACTATGAGACCGTTGTTGCTTACATAGTGAAGTTTATACTTTAAGCGTCGAATTACCTAAATGTCATACAGAGTGAATCATAGCGATTCGTCTGGAAGTAAATTCCAATGCATTAGTGTCACCTCGAAGGTGAATTTATAAGGCGGGTAAAAGACATTGATCAGGCATTACGTAGGTACTGTGTATTTTATGCGGTGCGGTATCGGGGGAGATTAGAGCGGGCCGTATCTCAGCACGCCCACCGCCGGTGGCCTTACATGGCCTGCTCCGAGCAGTGTTGCCATTATATGAACGGAATCGCAACCCGCGTGTATCTTGTATCGCCTTGATCATTTTATCATGTGCCCGTTTTCATGATAACGATTGTAAAAATTGGTAGAAAAGCTGCACTTATTGTTTATGGCTTAAAAATATGGTCTTAAATATCACAGTGAATGCATCATTTCCTTCGTTCCTTTTATAATAACAGTTGTAAAGTTCAAATAGTACCTTAATGTCTTAATACAACTAATATTTAAAATAAAATTACGTACAGAAAAGTCGGTAAATAAAATTCAAAGAGGAAATTAATTGTTAAAGTGTTCCTTTGACTATTCATTTGCACAAATCATGCGTTTTAAAAATGAGTACGCATTACGCAGGTGTATTAAGCTCTTTGTTTGCGCGCGAGCATAACAAAAAAAGCAACAGACGAACGATTCCATTTTAATTTCCTCAATTGTCTATCGGCACCTGCTGGATTAGCGAAACCATATTTTATAGAGTATCATTAGCGAGGTGCTCGGCTTTGGTTCTGAACTTAATCGCCTTTTGTTCCTGAGTAGCTGAACTGATATCGGACGTCCCGGCGCGGTTTTAATTACCGCTGGAATACATTAATGTAATCAAAGTTCGATACATCATACTCGCGCTATCGCCCCGCCTCGCTTTGATTAATAATTGTAATGAGCGGTCGGTGCCAAACGAGTTAATTAGGCGTTCGTTTTTTACCAGCGCCGTGCCACTGGGACCCGTAAACGGACGCATCAATCACCGCTTTGTGTGCGCCGCCGGATTTCTTAATGATTGAAATGATGCGCCCTCCTCCGCCACACGATCCACGTCGAAATGTCCGATTGTATTGCGTTTTGTCTGTTTATTAAATTTCACTAGTTTAGTCGCGCTCAGCGGGTGTGTGGTGCGCCTAAACTGGAATAGCACGTAGATCTAAGATTTCAACATCAATGCCAAAATTAATAACGTTAGAAATCGATTTCTATTAATATAAATTTATCAAATACTTAAATAGCTAAGTTTTTGGTTTAATACATCCTAAAGCTAAGAGACTAGCATTAGTACTTTGTAGTTTCTAAACATGTTCCACGAATATTATGTTCATGATAAAACATGTTTCTTTTAAATGCAGCATAAAGTAACACTTCACATCTCTACTTCACTGTACATAGACAAGTGAAAGCCTAATCTGCTTTAAAAACTTTGTCTACGCATCTACGTTAATGCGTAGCAATCGGCAACTTTACATAAAATGTGTCTTTGCTACGAACTTCTAAAGACAGGTAGTTAAAATCTATTCTATTAAAAGTCCAACTAATAATATTTTATAGGTATAAATCATTGATAATGTATAATTTTAAAATAAACCAGTAGCTGTAACTTGTCGAAAAGCCCGCGGCTACGTAGCGCTACTGGCCAGACGAAACTTAATATTTTGAACGCATTTATTTGGATGTATATGTGCTTTGATTTATTTAACTTAAGTAGTTTGCATAAGGACATGGTAACTTGTACATTCAGGAATTTTAAGATAATCTATCAAATAAAATCTGACTAACTGATTATGCTGGGGACTTAGAAATTGATATTTTCACTGATTGGAGAGTCTACAGTATAAAAATTAAAAATGTTTTTAAGCGTATGCAACACTCGTTATGTTACACTGATATTTTAATAGATTACTTAAATAGTCAAGTTAATGTAAAAGTATGTAATCTATATATAATCTATATATCTAAGTAAGGTTATCATAGTTTTTATCAGGTCTAAAGCGCGGGAATATTCTTGAGACAAATGGCCAAATATTAGTGTGAATCAAAACAGTTTATTTTGTAAAACTAGTGGGAACGGTTCCTTGTCAAACATTATCAATCACTCCGGTCGCTCGCCGCCGGCGGAATTGCTTTAATTTGATAAAACGCAATTAGCTACCAAAAAGAAATCTAATATGTTGAGGCGGCTCCAGTTTTTTAGCAGCTCTTTTTTGGGATACGTTCCAGTTTGACGGTTCGAAAATGATGGAGCTTTTGTTGGGACAGACACAAATGCAACTTGATTCTGAAATAATAAATGAAACAAAAGAATCATTGCCAAATGGAGATCGAATTCGTCGAACGACGATCTTTTGTTTCAAATAAATTAAATCGAATCGAGTCTTTTTTTCTAAAACAATAGTGACGCTAATTAAAGGTTCATATTACGAGTATTTATTAATAGAGATTTAAATATCAAACGTCAATGATATTGTCGTAGCATTGTTGTGGCAATGCATCGAAGTGATTGTAGATAAAGTCTTAGTAAAGAATGACTTGACGTCCTATACCACTTTACAATCACATTAATAAAATGTACATGTAGATACATAAATCGATTCCGCCGGAAATGGTGTTACTATTAACTTATGTTAGCTAAGTACACAATTCTATTAACAAGATTTCTTATTTTTTTGTTTACTAGTTAGCTAGAAAGTGTCCATATTTTGTTTTATTTTATATATAATAGGGTTTCATTAGGCAGCTTGTCGCTTTCATTTTTCTAGTTAGCCTAAAATGTCAGCTTACGTTTTGATAGGAAAAATGTTAGTAAACCGGTTAATTA